AATGTGGATGCTGAGTCTCCAGTGTTGTCCCCCGCAGGGCCCTGGGTCAACGAGGGACGTCGTGTCTCATAGTATGGTCCACTTAATGAAGGTTTTTAAAGAAAGTCCTGGAAAACCTGCTAAATTACTACTGGTTGGGGGTGGGGGGGGGGTGAGGGAAGAATCATATTTACCTGGAAGTAGATTAACCATGGCTAAAAGGCTCTTGTCACCTAGTAGTTATGGGTTGGGCTGCTGACCACAAGGCCAGCAGTTCAAAACCACCAGCCAGTCCTCTGGGGCTTCAGTTCAAACCGACCAGCTGCTCTGTACTCACATAAAGAGTTACACTCAGAAACTCACAGGTGCAATTCTTCCCTCTTCTGTGAGCTCACTATGAGTCAGAAGTGACTCAATGGCAGTCAGGTTTTGGAATTTCAAAATTTTTGAAAATGAGCTATATCCCTAGTCCCATTTTCCCAGGAGTGTGCTGATTGCTGGGCAGTGTAGGAGTAATGAAGAGGGTGTGTTAACCATCGTCACCCCACACCCACTGCCATCTCGTTCATTCTGACTCACAGCGACCCTCTGTAGCTCCCATCCATTGTCTCACCACATTTCTATCATTTGTCCGTCTAGGGGGGGAGTTATACATCCAACCTTGTGATCAGTTCTCTTTCCCCTCCTCCCCCGACTTTCCTGGTATTGCTAACCCCACTACTGTTCCTGAGGGGTTTATCTGTCCTAGATTCTTTGTGTCGAAAGCTCATATGGGGAGGAAGCATTCAAGAACTAGAGGAATGTTGTGTGTTTCCTCGGTACTATACTGCACCCTGACTAAATTGTCCCTTCCTTGTGACCCTGTGAGGGGATGTCCAATTGTCTACAGATGGGCTTTGAGTCTCCATTCCGATCCCCTTGTTTGCATCAATATAATTGTTTGTTTGGGATTGTGTTAGACAGGGTTCTCTAGAGAGACAAAACCAGATTGTTAATAATTTTATATATATTTATACAGATAGATAGATAACATAAGAAATAAACAGCTAATTAAATTATAAAGCAGTACAAATGACTCAGTGCAACTCACTCCCATGAGACAGTTGTGAGACACTGGCAGTCCTTCAAATCTTGAGGGCCGCCAGGTAGTCCTCTGTAGAGCAATTCTGGCTATCCAGGCACAGGCAGCAACCAGCAACATAGGTCACCAACAGTCAGCCAGGTGACAGGATTTGACAGTCCCCAGCTCAAGAGATGTAAATTCCAATGTGTGACAAAGCAGGTCTTGAAGGAACCTCAAATTACAGCGACACCGTCCACAGGTTAGGTGTCCCACAGATAGTGTAGCTTGCAAATGGAGGCATAGAACAAGCAAGGTGGCTGCACACTGGTCCGATGATCAAAGAGCAAGAGACAAGAAAGGTGAGGCTCTCCGAGCCATTTATCTCTCCGCCCTTCAATTAAGCCCACTTGTGTTCATTGGCCAGGCTGGCATAATAAACTAAATACCTCAGGGATCTTTTGATACCTGATACCTTGTCCTGTCGACTCCTCATGATCACCACAGGCTTGTGTGCTTCTTCTATGTGGGCTTATTTGCTTCCCTGCCAGATGGCCACTTGTTTGACTTCAAGCCTTTAGGATCCCAGATGCTATATCTTTTGATAGCCGGGCACCATCTGCTTTCTTCACATTTGCTTATGTACCCATTTTGTCTTCAGTGACTGTGTCAGGAAGGGGAGTATCACAGAGTGGCAGCTTATTAGCATAAAGTGCTGTTGTGTTTAGGGAGGCCTTGAGTAGAGGTCCAAAGTCCTCTGCGGTCTTAAGTATAACATAAATATATGTACATTGACCTATATCACTATATTATAAGTTAATGTATTTACATATATGCATGCCTATAGCTATACCTCTATAAGTAGCTTTTTCCTCCTAGTTTTTTCCTCTATTTCCCTTTACCTTCCTCCTGTCCCACTGTCATGCTCGCCCTCCATTCGGCTCTCAGTAATTCCCCTCTGATACATTGCACTTGGTCAAACCCCACCAGCTATTATGCCCTCCTTGCCATCAATTACAGGTCCCTTATTGTTCCCTTGTCCCTGAGTTTTTTGGCTCCCCGCTCCCCCTCCCCACCCCCTCCTCTCTCATCTCCCCCCAGAGCCACCAGTCCCATTGTTTTCTCCTCAGGATTGTTTATTCTGCTTATCTTATATAGATAGACATAAGACTACAAATCTTTTGGAAACAAAGAGCAGCTGGTTGGTTTGAACTGAAAACCTTGTGTTTAGCAGCTCAGTCCCTAGCCCACAGTGATATCAGAGATACACACACACACACACACACACACACACACACACACACACAGCCATTAAGTATACTCCGACTTCGAGCAATCAGGTGTACAGTTTTTGAAGCTTACTCTTTCTCCAGCAAAGAAAGCGGCTGGTGCCTTTGTACCAACCTTTATCAAATAGCGTCGCCAGGCACCTTTCATCTTAGGAGAAAATTAAATAGGACACAGACCCTATTTAACATTGAGATCCAGAAGCCTTCTGTGCCAGGGCTAACCTCTTCTAACCCACAGAGCACTTAGTCCATGACCAGAAAAGTCAATAGTTGACTATGAAGTCATCGATCAATAAGCTCAGATCCTTGCTCTTCTACAAACCAACTCTTGCATTTTAGGCAAGTTATTCATTCTCTCAGTTCCTGCATCCATTTAAAACAAAAAAAGAGGAGTGATATTATTTCTCACACAGGACTGCTGAGAGGCTAAATGAACCCGTGGCAGCAGAGGAGGTAACATTTAGCACATAGCAAAAGCTCAGTAAGAATTCTTGACTCTGGCTGTTAGTGCTACAGATTAGCTTTTCATTTGTAATAAAGTTTTAAAGCTATTTAGCCTAAAGAATTACCGAGTTTCACTTGGTTACAGCAGCTTGGGAGAGAAGGAAAAGTTTTATCGCCAAGGTGATAAAAAAATTAAATTACAACCTTATGCTCCCTGTACTAGTGGTTGAGCTGAGTCTATTTCAGAAATAGAAGTTAGCCTGAATAGCTAAGTCACAGCCTGTTAACATCAGTCAGAAGAGGTGTGGTGTTAAGAAAACGGGTCTGGCTGGTTTGGATAAAAGGGATTTAACATAAAACCATGCAGAAGAACAGGAAATACACCCAAATTTGTGTTAACTGGAAAGTTGGCTGGCAGCTCCTCCCTCAGAGTTGAAGCTCTCTCAGCTCCGCGTCTCTCTGACCCTTCTGTTCTGTGCCAACTGCTGCCTATTCAGACCGGCTGTCCACACACACCCACCACGGCTCCCCAGGGGTGACTTGAAGCCCTACAGCCACAGGAGGCCCCCCCACTAAAACAGTTGCTCCGGGTCTAGGAGTCCAACTGGTTGTCCAGCATCTGCCAGGTGCACCTTCCCATGCTAGTCATTTAGGGCAAGATGAGCCAGGCCACATTGTTTTTATATAGACAGTTTCTCCAAGAGAGGGCAGGGCCAGGAAGGCACTGGTCCTATCTCCTACATGCTATTGTTAGCTAACATTGAGTCAGCGCCAGCTCCGAGAGGCCCAGGTACACAGAGTGCTATTTCTCCATCGGGCGTTCAGCACACCTGTCTCCTGAGATGCTTCTGGCTGGGTTTAAACAACCAGTCTTTGGGCTAGTAGTCAAATGTTTAGCCATTTATGTTACCCACAGACTCCCAATAGCCCATGAGACATCACTTAGTCCCAAGGCCCCTACACTTACCCAATGAAGAAAGAAAAGTCCCCCAATGATTGTGACTTCATTGTTTGTCAGGCTGGAAATAGAACCAATCACCTGTTCTTGCTACAAGCTGTCTCACCTCCCGTAGTGACTAAGCAAATAAACACTTGTCTATCAGGCTTGGCACAATTAGAAATGCTTTTAAGATTATTAACTTTATTATGATCTTGAAGATCATAATACGAGGAGGTTACTCACCGCCCGCCAAAAAAAATTCTGCTGGGTGGAGCTTTCTAAGTTGTGCACATTTTTCCTGCTAGGTGAGCATCAAGCAACTTGCCCGGAGCTAGTGCCCCCAGTGGCCTGGGAAGGTTCTCTCCGGTCACAGTGAATTTTCCCATAAGAGCAGTTTCCATCAAACCGCATTTTTTTGTGAAGGCTGATTTAAGAGAATAGCACACAACTGTGAAATTTTGTTTCCTGCTCTGGAAAAATGCTGCAGAAACTGTTGTGATGTTGAACACAATTCACAAGGCCAGTGCTATGGGAAAAACTCAAGTGTACAAATGGTTATCTCTCTTCAAAAAAGATGAAATGTTGACTGATGACAAACTTCGTCATCAGTTTCCTGAACAGATGAAAATGTTGATTCACAGTATATTTGGAGTTCCTTCCATCAGGTCAGACTGATAATCAAGCTTTCTATTTAGGAGCTATGGAAAGATAACATAACATAACAGTGTGCAACAAAAAGGCCTGATTTGTGGCAGACGGGATTGGTTTTGCCTCCACGATACCTGTTCACACAGCTATCTTAGTGTGTCATTTTGGGGCAAAAATCAGGCTACCTCTCGGGCTGCACACTCCTTACTCACCTGCCCTCACTCCATGCGACTTCTTTTTGTTTCCTCAAATGCAGAGGGAAATGAAAGGACAGCAATTTGATGACATAGAAGAGGTGGAGAAAAAAACAAGGGAGGTGCTGTCAGCCATCCAAACAGATGAGTTTGAAAAATGTTTCCAAGAATGGAATCGCAGATTTGACAAATGTATTAAGTGTAATAGAGAGTATTTGAAGGTGATAAGGTGGTTTTGTGAAAAATTTTAAATACATTGCTTTGGAAAAAAAAGTCTGGTTTAGTTTGGATACCCCCTTGTATACTTTTACTTTCCAAATTGAAGGCATTTAAAACCCATCAATATATCCTTTAGGAGTCTTTAGACTCCATCCTAAATATTATATTTGTGATTTCCTTCAGAAGTCAAAGCTCCACTCCTAACGAAGTCCTGTTCTGTGTTACAGATTGCAACAGAGGCAATAGAAAATATCCGTACAGTGGTGTCCTTAACTCAGGAAAGAAAATTTGAATCAATGTATGTTGAAAAACTGTATGGGCCTTACAGGTAAGTAAATATGACTGTTAATAAGAACCTAGTTCTTTCTTAAAGTTGAATTATTATCTCCAAAAGAGAATAAAAGTGGGCTTGTGCCAAACAATGATATACCGTATATACTCAAGTGTAAGCCGAGTTTTTTCAGCTCATTTTTAATGCAGTTTTTGTGGTAAAATTAGGTGCCTCGGTGGATATTCTAGTTGACTTATACTCGAGTATATACGGTAATTAGTGCTACCCCTTTCCAAACAATCATATCACTGAATATAAAGTATATTTTTTTATGCAACTGGGCCACAGGATTGGGTTTTACAGCTCTTGTAAAGACAGCATAGGTTGGGTCTCCAGGAGGGAAAAGGCACAGAGGCTTGGTCACCACTGCAAGCAACACGAATGGCCCATCTAAGTCTCTCCGGATAGACCTTCTTTGACAGAATTACTGTCTTCAGATATTTTCTTTGGATTGTGTGAGCTGACCCAAAGATGAGACATATTATTTGTAAAGTAATTTGGGTCTCCTGAATCAGATCCAATCCACTTTGAATACAAAGACTCAGCCGGTCTCACCGATCGATCAATTAAAAGAAACATTTGTTTTTATAAGTGGATTTATTTTAACACTCACAAAATTGAATACAACTTGAGCACAGCTTTGTGGCATGGAAGAATGGTTATAAACAGACAACTGTGATGAGGAGAGAATCTTGAAATTATCGGTGGATTCCATTTCCTTGATTATGTATGTCTAATTCTTATGAGGTTGAAAGAATGCAAGTACATTTATTTGATTACTATTTAACATGGATGATTACCTATGCCATTTTTATGGTTTATTTCGAACTTAAAGACATTTAAGAATGGAAAGCTGCAGTGAATTATTAACTTAGCTATAATTCAAGAGTCAGTAGCATTGTAGAATGTTCATTATTGGAAAGTATGACAACTCCACGTTCAGAGCACATACATTTAACCATCCATATTAATAATACAGTGCATTTTCTCTCCTGCCAAATGCCTTCCTTCTAATCTGAGAGTAGATAAATTACAGTTCTTTAGGAAGACTTAGAGGTCTAATAAAGCATATACAATGTGAGGTCTAATTAGAAATGGTGCAAAACAAGTTTAAATAAAAGTGGAGAGATCTATTTAGGTAATGGGAAAACTTCTGTTATTTGCCTACATAAACCTCAGCAACCCTGCTGTGTGAATCTAAAATATTTATGTTGCTACCACTAGGAGATGCTGAGCATTAACAAAATCACATATAAGACCACTTTTATTTTAACTTTGACATCCTAGTTTTGAACAAGTAGTTAACAGTACAGGGGTTGAATATTTGACTCATCAGATATTAATATGTAATAATGATAGCAACTATCACTTGGACAACTTCTACAAGTCAGGCATTCTGCTAGGTATTTATGGTACTTTCTTTAATTCTCATGATAATTCTGAATTGTACTTGTTATCCCCATTGTACAGATCAGGAAACTAATGCTTAGAGATGTGAATTCACTTACCGAAGGTCACATATCTGGAGGTGGAATTTACACTCAGGTTTCCCAGACCTAGACTCCGTCCTCTTTCCACTACAGTGTTTTTCATGTAAAGCAGACCTACACCTGTAATGTGTACATGCAGATAAGGTGCATAGGAAACTACTGCATAAGGGAGGTGCAATTTGCCCAAAGCTGCAAGATGTGCATGCTATTTGCCTAAATACAGGATACAGTGATACGGGAGGCTGAAAAGAGGGCTATGAATGTATTCGTCATTTGTTTTTCAGGAATTCTGTGCAAAAGGCACACATCTATGGCATTATGTTTAGTATTTCACAAGCATTTATGTATTTTTCCTATGCCGGCTGTTTTCGATTTGGTGCCTATCTCATTGTGAATGGACACATGCGCTTCAGAGATGTTATTCTGTGAGTAACTTTAAAAATATGACAATTATTCAGTAGTATGTTTTCCATGAGTCTATATGAAAGTTTGGAGTAAAAAAAACTATGTTAAAATTTGTCATAAGGTGGGCTCAGGAAGTTGAATTGACTACAGTCTTTGACCTCAATGGCACAGAAATCTGCCAGCACTCCAAGAATAACTCACTCATCAGAGTGGACTAACTTTAGTCAAATTCACAAAAACAACCATAAACCAGAATCTTAGTGAGACATAGAACTCCAGTTGGGAAGCCTGTAAGTTTCCTCATTGCAAAAGGTTAGCAAAAATAAACCATCATTACAAGGTTAGTGACCATGAACCAATGTCAAAGAGTTAAATAATTTACTATTTATCTGCAACTGAAAGTTGTCCTTGGCAACCAAACAGGAATGTTGGACTGAAATCTGGCAAAGTCAGTCTGTCTCTGTCTCGCTCTCACAACCAGGTGTGTTACTCTGGGTTGACTAGAGAAACAAATCCATAGACACTCATAGGTGTATAAGAAAGAGCTTTATATAAAAGAGTAATTGTACATTAAGAAACATCCCAGCCCAGTTCAGATCAAGTCCCATCAGAAGGCAGAGGACAAGAAAACCGTTTGATGAAGTTCAGCTTGCAAAGTCTTAGTGTAGAATGGTTCAAGCTTGAGAGTGGAAAGTGATTTTGAAGGTGCAAATGGAAATATCCAGCTGGAAGTTACAATTAGAATGTAACTTAGTATCTAGCAAAACACCATTGAGAAAATTGGCCCTGCCAACCCCCTCCCCTCCCAGACAGCTTTCATACTAAAACTAGATTACAGACTAAACAGGGAAACTAGGCAACCACACATTGGTAGTTCACCACTGTTTAAAAATTCATTATTTGATAGCCAACCTTATCATCAAGTGTAAACTTAGGGAGTGCCTCACTATATACCCTCCTGTGTGCAAAAAAAAATGCATTTTGATGTCTTAATTTTAGACGTTCAAGAAGATGTAATTTATTTTTAATATTAGTAAATAGCAGATCTTTCTCCCGGCCTGCCTACTTTCCTCTGGAGGAGCTCTGGTATCATAAATAATAATAATTTTGTCAAGGTATAGTTTTCCTGCTCATTCAACTTACTAACTCTGAGTTGATGCCGACTCATAGCAACCCTGTGGATAGGGTAGAACTGACCCTGTGTGTCTTGAAACTATAACTTCTTATAGGAGTAGAAAGCCCCATCTTCCTCCCAAAGAGTGGCTAGTGGTTTCAAACTGCTGACCTTGCAGTTAGTAGCCCAACTATGCCACCACTAACCATTATGCCACCAGGGCTCTTCCTGTTAAATAGTCCTTTATATTGAGCTAGATGTAGATGTTTCCCTTTGGAGAACTATGTTTCAGAGTTCCGTCAAATAATTATGTTAACTATAAAAGATATCATGGTCATTGTAGAAGAAACCACAAACTGGAAGTGGGCCGTCGAGCCCTAGTGTGGTACTGATCCAGCCACGTGGGCACTGTGTACTTACACCAGTTCTACAAAATTAGTGGAGCTGACAAATCAGATTCAGTTATAAATGACTTCCTGAAAGCAAAGCATGTGGGTGGTTTATATTAACTATTGGGTAGAAGAGGTGCCAAAATAAAACCAGAAGGTAAATAAAGAGAGAGGGAAAAAAAACAGTCTTGGAGAGTAAATCTTGCTTTTCTGATTTCTTTTGTTACTAGATTTTCATAGAAAGCAAGTATGAGGGGAGAGAGAGAGTTTGTGATTAAGGACATAATGAAATATAAAAGGGGATGATTGAAAGGATTCAGGAGATACTGGCAAATCGTGATTATGCGCTAATTTAAAATGTTTCTCTACTTCTGTTTAGGGTGTTTTCAGCAATTGTGTTTGGTGCAGTGGCTCTAGGGCATGCTAGTTCATTTGCTCCAGACTATGCCAAAGCCAAGCTGTCCGCAGCCCACTTATTTATGCTGTTTGAAAGACAACCTTTGATTGACAGCTACAGTGAAGAGGGCCTAAGGCTTGTGAGTTCTGCTCGGTGTCTGACGTGTGGGCCCTATTTCCCCCAAAGGTGTGCTTTTGCCTACATGGTGGCTCAAGGATCATCTGCAGTGATGACACTAAGACATAGTGAGCTTACCTCGTGCTCCTGACATGGCTGATCTTTGGCCAATTTTCCTGTCATTTATAGTCTTCCACAAATAAGGAGGATAGTATTTTGTAGTCAGTGTTTGAATTGAACTAAATCTTACAGGTGGAGTCAAGGATTCTAAAGTTGAAAGTTTAAAAGTTTTTGTTTTTGTTTTAAAAAGGAATGTCCTGGAACCACATAAATTTCCATGAAAATTGTCATTTCTTTTTTTTTGTCAGTCATTTCTACATGAAGATAAATACGTGTAATTCTGTCATGTACATGCAATTAGTATTTTTTGTAATGGTGGAGTTATGCTTATTAAAAAAGACACTTTATTCACAATGAAATTAATAATCCTATACTCCCAACAAAAAAAAAAAAAGGAAGGCCGGTGGCACTGGGCTAAGCATTGGGCTGCTCCTGGCAAGGTCAGTGGTTCAAACCCACCAGCTACTCCTTTGGAGAAAGCCGAGGCCGCCTGCTTGTGTAAAGATTGACAGTCTTGGAAACCCTATGGATCAGTTCGATTCTGTCCACCAGGGATTATGGATCGTAATCGACTGGATGGCAATGAAGTTGTCTACCAAATTAACTTGAACTCCGACCTGAATGGTTTTTGCCTGACACAGCTGCTGCTTATTTTAATGGTGGGGGGATAGGGTGAATAAAGAGATTAGGTTACGTACACCCTCTTTGCAGGCCTTGCCTAGGTATTTCATGTTCTGAGACAAATCCCTGAAATAAAAGGTGAAACCGACCCCCGAATACCTAGGCGCAGCTGCTGGCCTTTGGCCACTGTCATGGCTCCAGCCTCAGACTCCAGATGGAAAATGTTTGTCTTCAATGAACCAGAAACAGTTTCTATAACAACTCTCTGTACTGTGACTTTTTTAAATCTAGTCTAACATGTCTTCATGCCCCATCTTCATTTTATATAACAAGAGTGTTGCCAATATAAACCCTTACCACCCTGCAATGTCTGTGAATTATATGTTTCTCTTCTCTGGTGTTTGGTGCAGTTCCCTTAAATCATAGTTCTTATTCCAGTGATATCAGACCGAACGTCTCAGCAACCTTTAACATTTCTTAAAGGGTCAATTTGAGGGAAATGTGACGCTGAGTGATGTCGTGTTCAGCTACCCCACCCGGCCGAATGTCCCCGTGCTCCAGGGGCTGACTCTTGAGGTGAAGAAGGGCCAGACGCTGGCCCTGGTGGGCAGCAGTGGCTGTGGGAAGAGCACAGTGGTCCAGCTTCTGGAGCGCTTCTACGACCCCATGACTGGGACAGTGGTGAGCATTTTCTTCGAAGCCTGCTTTAGGTCATATTTTACAATAGTGCTGTAATGGAAAAACCTGGAGTAGTCAAACCCTATAATCAGCACAGTCTATAAACTCCGAGTTAGCACCCATCGCAGGATAAGTTCATGGGGACAGTCGGGCAGAATGTCTAGAAGTTAGTCTCAGACAGAAATGCAGGCTCGCAGGCTGATGTCAGCCCTGTGGTGGATCTTTTTAAACCAGCCTGACAATCCTAAGTGACTACTCAGTGACTACATTATAAGGATCAGCCACAAATTCTTGTTAGAATTCAAAGTAGGCTCCGACACTGGTGCCTCCTTCTTCCTGCCCCATCTGCTTTGACTTTGTCTCCTCTCTCTAACCCTGAATTTAAGGTTTCCTTATTCCTCAACTTCAAGCCTTGTCATATTTGTTTACTCATTGCTTTTCTGGTATCCAGACTCTCTTCCAGGAGGGAAGACCTTCCTTGTACTGGTAACATTTGCTTCCTGCTGCATTAACATGGCACCTATCGACCTAGCCCAGTCCTAGGAGCCCACTCCCATTAATAAACCCCTGAGTATTAACCGTTGTTCCAGCAAATCTTAGGCTTTCACGGTAACAATTACTGTGCAGATATAGATACAGGGAAACCAGCTTTGCAACACTTTTCAGGTATGGTGTGCTAATTAATACTATGATAGAAATTATATCCTTATCAAAAGAGATATAAGACGAGATGGGCTCTTAGTATCTAGCTGTGTTATCCGGATTGACTAGAGAGACAACTCCAGAGACTTATCTGTGTGTAAGAGAGAGCTTTAGATCAAAGAGTAATTATATATTGAGAAAACATCCCAGCCCAGTCCAGATCAAGTCCATAAGTCTGGTATTAGCTCATATGTCCAACACTAGTCCATACATTCCTCTTCAGACTCACACAGCACATGTAATGATGCTGAATGCAGGAAGATCACAGACTGGGGGGTGCAAAGTCTTGTGGCTCTAATGCCAGTGGAAGCATCTCAGCGCTGGCTCCTCAACAGGAAGGTGAAACAGAGCGAGTGCATCCCACTTCTAGGGAGGAAGAGAGGAAGCTCCCAGAATCCTCATGAGAGGGCCACGCCCACACGGAAGCATCATCAGGCTGTGTCCTGTTTGACACGCTAGATTCTACCCCATCATTCTAAATCAAGAGATTATGTAATTACCAGAGATTATGTAATTACCACACTAACCCTGGTGGTGTAGTAGTTATGCACTGAGCTGTGATCCCCATGGTTGGCAGTTCAAAACCACCAGCAGGTCCTGGGGAGAAAGATGGGGCTTTCTACTCCCTTAAACAGTTAGTCTTGGAAACCCACAGGGGCTCGCTATGAGTCAGCACGGACTCCATGGCAGGGATGAGTGAGTGATCTCTCCACCAATAACCTCTCTTACTGTGAAAGAAGTTGGTTCCTTGGTCTCTAAAACACAAAGCCCCCCTTGAAGCACCAGGTCTCCTGCTTGTAGCAAAGAAAACAAAAAGCCCTCAGAGCCGCCAAGAGTGAAACTCCCCTCCCCAGGACACTGCCCTTTGGGCTTGTTCACTTTGTATTGAACTCTTGCCTTTCACAAAACATAAGTAGGGAAAGGTTTAAGGCTAAGCCGCAATTCTCATGGAGCAGAGAAGTAGCATGGGCGTCAGCCAGCACTCATTCAGAATGGGCAGGTGGGACAGGCAAGGGCATGCTTCCGATCAGCTTTCCTCGTGTGCTTGAGGAAGGGCTAGGGTAGCCAGGGAACAGCAAATCTGAGCGGGACATCTTGACGGCACAGAAGACTCAGAGGAAGTAATGACAACAGGAGAACGTGCAGGAAATCAGAGGCAAACAGCAGAAATCCGTTCACCATATTGCAGTTTTGATCAAGATGGGGATAGCTTAATCGCCATCAGAAACATCTTGCTGACCTTCAACAGTGTAGATGCTTGGAGCCTCTGAGGTTTGCCAGCTCATCACTGCTGTTGGTACGCAGACAAAGGGCTTCCAGATGTGGCTCTAATGCCAGTGGAAGCATCTCAGCTTGGTAACTTCTTGTGCACGGTATCTATGTTTTCTTCTCATGCTTATAGTTTGTGGGCTTTGGTTTTCAGCTCCTAGATGGTCAAGAAGCAAAGAAACTCAATGTGCAGTGGCTCCGAGCGCAACTGGGCATTGTGTCCCAGGAGCCCATCCTGTTTGACTGCAGCATTGCCGAGAACATCGCCTACGGAGACAATAGCCGCGTTGTAGCACACGATGAAATTGTGAGCGCAGCCAAAGCAGCCAACATACACCCCTTCATCGAGACGTTACCCCAGGTAAGTTAACTGATAGCTTCTTAGGCGAAAACGAGAATCTGCTGCCAACTTTTTCCCCCCAAAATTAGTTCCCCAAACTAGATACCAACAATAATATCTTGCAAGAGAATGTAAGTTTATTTATGATTATTGGGGCTTTGGGAAGGACACTTAACTTCACAATGCCAAGTTTTCTCATTGCCAAATTTGAATAGTAGCTATATTGCTTTCTTCATGTGACCGTTGTGATAAGTAAATAAGGTGGTTGGTATATGTCCAAAGCACCCTCTCTCAGATATAACTGGTGGGTGTGGGCTGCATTCAGTCTGCAGTCATATTGTTAATTTTTTTAATTGCTTTTTGAGATAATCATCGAATCACAGATAGTTCTAAGGAATCATGCAGAAATCTCTGTGCCCTTTGCCTCATTTCCTCCAATGATAACATTGTACGCGTCCTCAGAATATTATCAAAACTATGCTGCTGACAGGGAAACGATCCATGGATTGTAATCAGATCTCAGCAGTTTTACTTGCTGCTAGTTGAGTGTGAGTGTTCACCTACTGCTCACTGATTGAATAGCTCATTATCTAACATCTCACATTTACAGCAGTAAAAAATCTACCATATATACTCAAGGATAAGCGGACCCGAATATCAGCCGAGCCACCTAATTTTACCACAAAAAAATGCATTAAAAAATGTGCTGAAAAACTCGGCTTATACACGAGTATATACGGTACTTAAGTCATCTTAAAACTAGATCAGGACCCATGTGTTTTGAATGAAAGACTGTGCTCCCTCCTGAATCCTAAGTCCTTGATCCTTCCCTCCCACTATTCTTCCCTGTCTAGGATGTATATAAGGTTTAAGAACAAAATAAAAACAAACAGGCTAGATGCTAGGTGTGTAAGTCTGGGTAGACTAGAGAAACAAATTCATAAACATGCATATGTGTATAAGAGAGTTATATATAAAGGGTAATTGTACATTAAGAAAGCATCCCAACCCATTGCAGCCCAAGCCCTTAAGTCTGATATTAGCCCTTATGTCCAATACCAATCTATAAAATCCTCTTCAAACTCACGAAACACATGCAATGACACTGAGTGCAGGACAATCACAGGCCAGTTGGTAGAAAGTTTTTGGATCTAGTGGTGGTGTAAGCATCTCAGCGCTGGCAGGGGTCTCCACATTTCTCTTCCAGTTCCCAGGGCACTGGGTCTATCAGTGTAGTGCCATGTGCCTTGTCTGTAGAGTGTCTTCAGGCAGCGAGCAAAGAGACAAGAGTCTCTCACCCTTCCAAGGAAGAAATCCAGGAAATTCCCAGAATTCTCAGGGGAAGGCCATGACTACACAGCGACCTCATTGGCTATGAGCTGATTGACAGACTAGACTCCATCCCTTCACTCTTAATCCTCTCAAGTCCCAAATTGACACCAGATTATGTAGCTACCACACTAGGGCCTTTCTAACCTTCAGGCATGCTCCTGGACCTCACTCACAGAACCCTTATGGACCCACAGGCTGGAGGGTGGCTGCCTTCCTCCCTCCGTCCAAGTGGACTTCCGACTGTGAAAAAGCAGCACGAGGAGCAGACCGGACAGTGGTGGTCACTTCCTTACAGACCTCAGTTCCATCACTCATGTGCTTGGTGGGCAGCAACCCCACAGGGGTTGGTGTTCCCATGGAAAGCAAAATCTCCTCATGGGTTGGAATAGGGCAGGTCTCCTCCTGACTGCAAATCCTGGCCTAATCGGCCGTGCAATTTGGAATGGCAGCAACCTACCAGCTTTCTCCAGTATGGAAGTGATCAAGCACAGAACTGCAGTCTGTGGCTCCAGGGGAGGGAACAGTCCTATGGGGCTGCCTCTGAGGTGAGTCCTGGAACCTGAGAAGCATGGGATGATGTACGTTACACAGAAAGCTTTTGTTGTCAGGCCCCATCGAGGCGCTTCCGACCCACAGCACCCTATGTACAATAAAGCCAACCATCCAGTCCCGTGCATGCCTCCTCACTTCATCAGCATGGCGCCCACTGACCCACTCCCAGCTAGTCCTAGGAGCCCACACCCATTTAAACCTCTAAGGATTAAACCCCATCCAGCAAATCTTATGTTTCCACGGTAATAATTGTGTTATGCTTCATCATACTTATTTAATCTGTCTGCTGAGCAAATCATATGAGAAGCTAGACTGTGTGATAATGAATGAGGCATCAGATCAGAAGGAAGCTCATTAACCACATGTGATATGCAAATGACACACCATTGCTTAATGAAGGTGAAGGGTTTACTGATGAAGAGTGAAGATTACAGCCTTTAATGTGGATTACACCTCCACCCAAAGAAAAAGAATGTTCTCACAATGGTCCCAAGGAGCAACGATTGCAATTGTCAAGATTTCATTTTACCTGGATCCACCACAGTGCCCATGAAAACAGCAGTCGGGAAGTCATATGACATCATGCCTGGGGCAAATCCACGCAAAAGATTTCTTTACGGTGCTAAAAAGCAAGCCATGCTATTTTCAATCACCTCCTCTGAGTGTGAAAGCCGGCCAATGACTGTAGACGACTTAAAGTCCAGCTTCCCAGCTTTGCAACTAAGATATCTGTCATCCCTTTCTCCTGCCTTCCATCCTGCTCCTCCCCCTCAGTCCTCACCATTTCTATCTCCCTGTCTGACCTCTCACAGCACGGAGTGTATTCTGTTCATTTGGTACATACTTGACCTCATTTAGAGCGCTTTCCTTGGGTTAAAATGTCGGACTTAACTACTCACCCCGCAGTTAAGTAATACTTTGTAAATTACCCCTACGTTTCAAATGATTGAACCAATTCTTACAATAAATTCTTCATCACCATCACCTTGACTTGTTGACAAGGCTTGGTGCCTTCTCTGGCACTGAAAGCTAAATAAGACCACACGAACCTGGCTGGATCTCGTTTGCAGTCTAGAACTGCTTCAGTGCCCCCTTCCACCCTGGGTAATAAATTCCTTCTGTAAGGGCAAGTACAAATCTGAATTCAGTGTTTAATTTCCAACCGTTCTTGGCATAAAATATACTAATATTCAAGTGAATGGATGAATTTTAAGAGAGTAAACCAGGCTTTGTGTGGGTTATTTCAAGGTTTAAAAAAAAAGTTAAAACATGAAAGCATTAACACTGATCTTCCTTAAGATTCCAGCGGCATCCGATCTGCTGGTGTCATGCGAATGGCAGGACTCTGAGGATTTATCAGACTCCTGCTGGAGAGCATGTGCAGAGCTAGTCACTGGGTTTCTGGTCAGATTTGGGGACTATTCTGTTCATTGAAAACTATTCTGAAAAGGGCCTCTATTGTGACAGGACCCCTGATTGATTCTAAGTATGTTCCTTTGTAAATAGAACTATGAACTTTTTGTGTATGCACTATGCCATTAGTAATGCTCTTGGCTGAGAACATTGTTCATGGCTGACTTGCAGAAATATGAAACACGAGTGGGAGATAAGGGGACTCAGCTCTCGGGAGGTCAAAAACAGAGGATTGCTATTGCCCGAGCCCTCATCAGACACCCTCACATTCTCCTGTTGGATGAAGCGACATCAGCGCTGGACACCGAAAGCGAAAAGGTAGTGTGGCCTCCTGCTTCACATCCCATTTCATTTGTCAAATAATTTTAGTTTCAGCCAAGGGGGTGGAGGAAACAGATAGAAAGATAGAATATAAGGGGGGGTGGATGTAAATACAAAAGCTCAGTATTTATTTTAATAGAATATTTTGTTTTATTCCTTTTTTTTGTCTTTGGTCCCTCCCATGTTTATTTTTCCATTGTATGAAATAGTAGATGACAAACAGAATGTATACTAATCTGAGCACTCGTTTTCTTCCCTTTTATTCCTTATGGTGCTTTCAAATTTTCTAAAATAATCATATATTGACTCTTGGAAAACATCAAAGCATTAAAAATTAAACTGTAAACAAGATATCACATTTTTAGCATACTAGTCTGACACAAACAACTGGAAAACAAAATGTTCAACAAAGGGGCACTAGTTAAGCAAATATGTAGTGGTTGGAAAACTTACTTGTGACGAGAATTTAAAGCATGGAATTCATTTATAATTAAAAAGCAAAGTGTAATCAAATATAGACCAAGATGTAAATTATCAAATATAATAGGCATACCACTGAAGACTCAGAGATGAGAAAATAGTTGATTTGAGAAGATGGCAAAGCCTTACAATTTCTTTAATGTTCTAACTTAGGTAAATCCTTTTTAAGATGAGGCTTGTCTTTTATCCACAGATTGTCCAGGAAGCACTGGACAAAGCCCGAGAAGGCCGCACCTGCATTGTGATCGCCCACCGCCTCTCCACCATCCAGAGCGCAGACTTGATCGTGGTGTTCCAGAACGGCAAAATCAAGGAGCACGGCACGCACCAGCAGCTGCTGGCGCAGAAAGGCATCTACTTCTCCATGGTCACTGTTCAGGCTGGGACACAGAACTCATAAACTCTTACTACAAGATGTCTTAATAATACATTTAAATCCTTCTACAACCTTACCTGACTTGTAACAGAAGTGTCCAGTTTATGTTATGATGAGATATAGGTATGTCTGATTTCAGGTCAATTTAAAGCATCCATATAGGTATTTGATATTCCAGCATTTGAAATTTGAGCGTTAGAAGCAAGACCTGCTTTGGTGAAGTATGAAAACTGCCTCACTTTCCCTGAGTAACTATCAGCAACATACACAGCAAGAAGAGCAAAGTTCAAGCACGTACAGCTGCAGATCCAACAGAGGTCACAGAGGGAAAATCTCCTGGTTCTGAATGGATAAGTAGATGGCAGGGTGGCAATGGGAACAATTTTTCCAAATATGAAAAATAAAAGTGTTCAATAGCGTTGTCTCTCACTTGATACATTTCCAAATTGTTATATTGTGAAATTTGTTGTTAAAATGAGTGTATCCCCTGGTTTATCATGTAATTTCAAGAGACTCTGAAATACCCTTTAGGCTAGATAACTTTCCAAGAAGTATTTCTTGGGAGAAAAGCTTGTCATTAATTTAAAATACACATACTCTCTCCCAGTGCAATTTGAAACTGGAAACAGGTCACAATTCAATTCTGAGTCTCTATACCAACTACATTACTTATACAAACATCCCAACTCCCCCCACCCTAACTGACCCTTTTCCTCAGAATAAGGTATTTTGGAAATAGAACTAAATGAAATACATATTCTAAGCAACTATTGAAAACCAACAAAATGAAATTGTATTCTAAGCTTCTACTGAAAACCAACCACGCTGAATTGTCCTTTCAGTACCATTCCGCACCGCCCCCCCATACTTTTCTGCAACAATGCCAGTGTGACAGGTTGTTTAGCTGAGCAAACTGCCCCAAAACCAAGTTCTTTTATTTGTGATAAACCAGTTAACACCAAATAATTTTTCAAATGTGATTGTGTATGAGTGAATTGAATATCCGATTAGCCAAGAGTAAATGAGGTAAGAAGTATCCACATTGCTAAAATTACTCAAAGTGAGGCTTCAATGACTCCTGTAATTATCCCCAGGCTTGCCTGGATACAGTTGGAAATCCTGCTTCAGCAGGTCTAGGCTGAGGTCCGAGAAATTATTTTTAAAGTAGTGCATGTGTTTTAAGCTCAAGCAAGTTAGATCCATGTTCAAGCACGAGTGAGGTCTCTGCAGGGAACAATGTCGCTTCCAAAATGACCCAACCCTTTGGGCATTTAAAACCAGTGGATCAAATTATTTGAAATGCCACAACAGTCTAGTCTACAAAACTGCACTGGTGAAGAAATAGATCCTCAGATCCATTTTTTTAATTCCTAACTATGAAGAACACTGTGTTAGTCTGGAGACTTTAGAGAAACAAATCCACAAAAACTCATATGAATAAGAGAGAGTTTTATATAAAGGTTAAGTGCACATCAAGAAAACATCCTAACCCAGTGATGCCCAAGCCCACAAGTCCAACATTAACCCATATGTCCGACACCAATCTACAAAGTCCTCCATCTCACAAAACACACACTATGATGCCGACTGCAGGAGGAAAGCCCAATCAGTGAATGTGTAAGCATCTCAGCACTGGCAGGAGTCTCCATACGGGTGCTCCAGCACCCAGGGCTGTATCGGGGTAGGTCTATGTGGCTTCTCCTCGGATATGTTTTGCAGGAAGTCAGCCTTGCCAGCTGAAGCAGGGAACTGGCTAAGGCAGCTGCACCCTGGTCCGACCATCACAAAGCAAGAGACCTGAGAACTAGAAAGGCGAGGCTCACGAGCCATTTATCCCTCTACCCTTCAATTAACCCACATGTGTTTATGGACCAGGTTGGCACAATGAACTAACTCAAACACCAAATGCCAGAAACACCAATTCTTGAGTGTTCTCCACAAAGAAAGTGTATTTGTTATTTCTTAGGATAGTGCCTGTATGCAGTTTGTAAGGGCTCAAGTGCTGGTTATTATGATGATTAACAATGATGATGATAAACCATTCACCCATTTCAAACCATACAATGAAAAGGTGGGTGGTGGTATATAAAGTAGTGCATTAGCTATGCCATACTTTTATGCTTCAATGTGTGATAGGCTGTACAGTGGCTCAAATGATGTCCCCTTATGCTCACTCCCTTTTGCCAACTGACTTGCTACCCCCTCCAGTTAGATGAGCCATTCCTTCCAGGATTGGAATCTGAGATGCCCTTGACTTGTTTTAGCCACTAGAATGCAGCAGAGATGACCATGTGATTTCAGAGCTTAAGTCTCAAGGGGTCTTGCCCCTCCCACGTCCACCTCTTAGAACACTTTCCACCAAGGACGACCACTCTCGAACTGAATGATCCAAGACCACATGTAGCGGGAGACCAGAAAGCAAGTCCCCACACCAGTGGGTGCAACCATCTTAGGCTTCCAGCCTCAGTCCAGTGAACGGGTGACTGAAGCCACCTCAGTCCTCAGACATAACTATGTCCAGACAGTGGAACGTCAACTGACACAATTGTAAGAAATACACTTTTGCTGTTTTAGTAATGTTTTATTACACAGTAACAGATAACTTAGGTCAAAAGACATGAGATTAAACAAGAATGACTCATTCATTCAAATGAAAACCAAGCTAGTATGATTTGTTGTCTTATTTTCTGAAAATATAAACTACAGATTGAACAGAAAGCAGGGAGAAAACCCTGGCAAGTCCTGAGATTGTGATTGAACATTTAAATCTTTACAAATAACTAGCCAAGCAGTTTTAAACACGCATTTATCCTTATATTCACAAGACTGATGATAGCATCGATCTGCTATTAGAACTTTGTTAAGAGTTTGGTTGTTGTTGTGATGGGGCATAAACTTCCCTAATGCAACCAAAGTTTTCTGTCTATTCAATAGAAATTCTATTTTTAAGATCATTACTAAATTGAAGTGTTCTTTCCCATCAAATATAGTAAGCTTGTGTCCCCTGTGGTGAATGTGGACAGCAATGATTTGGGGGAAACTAGCATCCAATCATCTTGTTCATATCCTTTGGCAGTGTTAAAGTGCTTACAAGGGGTACTCTACAGTGCTGCTCAAAGATGATTTATAACCTGTACAGGTACCAACAAAAACACATTAGCATCAGAGTAAGACTTGCAGTGTTAAACTTTGTAGTTTTGCATACCTTTGTAGTTGAGGCATACCTTACACAATGCGTAGTTCTATATTCACTGAATCATGATTTGCACCACCGCTGCATCAGGGGAAGCTTTAAAAGTAGTCTCCACCTCTTATGGCAGAGTATATTTAGAGAACATGAGTCTTTTAGTAGCTACATCTAATACGTTTCCTTCCTTTCCATCTCCTGTCACCATTCATTCCCCGCAGCCTGTTCAATGACATCGATCAATAAATGCTTAATAAATGATTGAGGAGCCCTGAGGGCACAGTGATTAAGTGCTTGGCTGCTAGTAGAAAGGTTGGTGAGAATGATGTGGCATCTGCTTCAGTAAAGATTGCAACCTTGGAAATCCTAAGGGGCAGCTTTACTCTGCGAGACTATATGGGGTGGAATCAACTCAACAGAAATGGGTTTGATTGGGGATAACAAACGACTACTTCTACAGTTGAGCTGTGTTCATCAGCTGAATCATATCATGGAAGGCATGAAAAACCAGTTGGACTAGCTTTTGTGCATCAGTCTCTGCACACGATTTCCAGGCTGTACAGGACACCACGAACCTGTGAAATACAAATACATGATTAAGTATGACGCAAAACCAACATGTAAAGGCTCCAAATGGTAATATGACCTTTTCTCTATCTGGCATTCACACAAGAAATGTCGATTCTTGCTGACATTGAGTAAATGTAATCTGACCACAGAGAGAGATAAAGTTAGAGTTACACAAGACACTAGATAATATCTGATTTACTGTGGCATTAGAATCGGAGGCTAAGAGGGAACAAAAATTTGTCAGAGCCCAGGAGTAATCTGGATTAAGGTCTTACTGTGTTCTAAAATAAAAAGACAACCTACTAAAGAACCCTAAATGAAATAAAATGGAACTTGAATTCATGTCACTGATTGCAATGAAATTTGAACTATTTTATTTAAAAAAATATGTGCCAGGGACTCAAGTAGAAAGAACAGGTTTTGAAAAGGATGACGACAACCTATGTACAGAAGTGCCTGACACAGTGGTATGTGGATGGACGGATGGATTGTGATAAGAGCTGTCAGAGCCCCCAATAAAATTTAAAAATATGTATGTAAATCTTGAAGAGGCTGAGAAATTACAATATAGGATAAGGGAAAGTTTGTTTCTAAAGTCAAAGAGAGAAACCCCCACTATCTTTTTCCGTCGCTCCCTAAGGAAGAAACCCCACACTCAGCAGGAGTGAACAGTAACTCCAGAAAGCTGGAGGACAGAGAAGTGATCCTTGACTCTTGCGGGCACAGAAGAGCAAGGAGGCTACCAACTGCCTTGGAAGTAGCCTTTCCACTAAGAGTTTTCCTTGGCATAGCATGGTGTGAGCTCCACTTGCATGGTTATGCACCGTAAAGCTTTGGAAAATCATGCAATGTCCACATCACCGAAAAGGACAGTAGATTATGCATTCAGCATGTCCTCTGAATTAAGCAGATAAAGTAAAAACGTGCTCTAGTTCACTATATAATGACAAAACCAATACTCAGAAGGATTCTCTTTGACGAAAGCACCTACAAGAAGCCCTGCCTTGTTGCACCTCCTGATTGTAATCACGAGTTATTTTTCAGCCACACTGTGCATGTAATTCTCAAATGTGTAGTAACATATGTTTCTTTCTATAAATGAATATGAGTTTGCAAAATTCAATTAACTTGCTAAATGGTAAACCACTTTCAGAAAGCAGGAGGGGTCGGGAAAGGAGGTGGACTGCAAACAGTAAGTCCAGGGAGGAAATGGGGTGAGTAGGGTTACATCGTGGGGACTAAAATCAACAATATGGATCAAAGTGCACATGGATTGTTGACCAGAAAACCAGATTGGATCTTTAAACCACCAGTCATGCATAAAGGTGTTTTTTTAATAATAAAAAAGAGAGATAACATACTTTCTCCATGTAGACAATTCAAGAAAGAAATACAGTATCGATAAATGATGAAAATGTGTTTAACTTCCTAAGCAAACAGAGAACTGAAGTTATGCTGTGATATATCTGCCATCAAATCGGAAGTTTTAATAATTAGTAAAAAAATAATACAATTGGTTTAAAAAAAGAATTGGTAATGGTCTGATAATACAAGGAAGGATACAACATCAGACATTATTTGACACGATGGGAAGACTGGAATAGGGAACCAATATTATACACGATGGATATCTATAAGATTGGACATTCTTAGCTTCTTAATACATATTTAATGGCATTGGGAATTGCCTGAAATATAAAAAGTGAAAATGGATTTGTAAAAAGGGCAGGTAGATTTACAATATGCCAGAGTTACGGTATACTTGGCCTGAACTCTTCTCACTGCAAGATCCACTGCTCGTCGGGCAATTTGTTAGAATGCTCCCTTTCTGTAGAGCAGGAATGATTTTACATCTCTGACCTCTTTGTGTGAAAAAGTTTAACCCATTTTTAACCTATAAAATGCAACCTTTAACTTGTACATCAACGTTTACGAACAGACATATCTCAAAGACTGATTGGTCAACAATATATATTACTGGTTTAAATGACAGCACAAATCACATGTGAAATGAAAGCTGATAAAAATCTGAAAAAGCAATAGACTGTAAAAAGACTCTAAAAGTACAAAAGCAATATATTCAAAAGTGAAATATATCATATGTACTCCATTTGAAGTGCTTCCAAGCCTGCTTTCCTCTGACATAGACCAACTATGTTCAAACGTGCCCTGATTTGGGGGAATGATAAAGTCACCGAGTCAGTCTTAAACTGCGTTCTGCACCAAAGAACTTATAAGACAGTTTTGAAAAGTGTCCACTGGGGAGGGTGGGGTAGAAAGGGGGAACTGATTACAGGATCTACATATAACCTCCTCCCTGGGGGATGGACAACAGAAAAGTGGGTGAAGGGAGATGTTGGACAGTGTAAGATATGACAAAATAATAATTTATAAATTATCAAGGGTTCATGAGGGATAGGGGAATGGGGAGGGAGGGGAAAAATGAGGAGCTGGTGCCAGGGCTTAAGTGGAGAGCAAATGTTATGAGAATGATGAGGGCAATGAATGTACAAATGTGCTTTACACAATTGATGTATGTACGGATTGTGATAAGAGTTGTATGAGCCCCTAATAAAATGATTTTTTAAAGGGTCCACTAAAGGAAGCAGAAGAGAGAAACAAACCGAGCGAGCTGCCTAAGTGGAGGGAACAATAGTCAAACGAGACAAGTGACAGATGACAACACAATCATACTCACAACGCAGAAAAAACATATGCAAACAAGAAAAGCGATAGCTTTCGTATACTATAGCACCACAAGAATTAAACAGCAGCCTCACCTGTCATCTCTGATGTGGTAGAAAAATCCAAAGCCATTGTGCACCATGGGAACCGCCACTCCTTGGACTCGGAAATAACCAAGGAGACTTGTTGAGAGAACAAAATTTCCACCTCCTCCACTGAATGGCACAAATACAGGCTATTTTAATAGACCTAGAGATGCTCATAATGTTTCTGAGGTGTGTTTTAAACATTCACATGAAAAACGGATGACATTATAAACACAATGCTCTCTTACCTTCTGGAGAAGAGCGGGTCTGTATAGAGCTCTGGATCAGGGAGCCCTGCCTCTTTTGCTATGAGTAAGAGACCCAAAAGATGGCGGTCAAATCCTGCATGAAACCCCAAATCTGAAGTTAGAAAACAGTTTCAACATAAGACTCAGTGGGGGCAATCAGAATATTTCCAGTCCAAGTACCTTTCCCCGTCGAACAATCTTTCATCATTTTATTATGCTTTGTGAAAGCTTGCAGCATCTTTTCCCGCCGCTCAAGAAGCTGTGTTAACAAAAGGCAAAAGATGCTTCAATTAAAAAAGCCAAACAAATAAAAACCCTGAGCTCATTATAAGATTGAGATAATTTGGAAGAGAAAAATGTTTCTAAGATAATCTATGCTACACACTTACAGGTCTTTTTCTTATTCCACGGCCTTTTCTTTCCTATCTGCAAAGCAACACCCGGTGGCACTGCCTTGACTCTCCTCAGCAGAGTACAAGTGTACTCCCTCGGGCTCCCATGGCGAATTTTTCAGATAGGGTGCCAGGTCTAACGTGAGAGGTACACACACTAATCTTCAACCACGCAGTTAGCAGCTGAGCATGCTAACCATTTGCACCACCCAAGGACTCCCTTCTACCTATAAGCCAAAGTCCACTGATATTGGGTCCATTCAAACTCAGAGACCCTGCAGGAGGGAGCAGGGCGGCTTTAGATCATTTCAACGGCTGTGAATCTGGACAGACACAAACCCAGGTTGTTGTTCCCTGGAGCAGCTGGCAGGTGCCAGGCACTGACGCTTTAAGGAGCGGCCCAGTGTTTTAACCACACCACCAGGCTCCTGTTTCTTTCCGATAAGCCCTGCTTATCGATCACTTCATATAATAAGAGAACGGAAACGTGAGAGCAGCACTGTTATGACTTTAACAAGTACAGGGGAAAAAGCAACTGTGATTTCAAAAGGGAATGCAATGCTGTGCAAAGAGATAATAACGCAGTTCTATGAAATTAGATAAAGAAACTTAAGACTTTTGTTCACTTCTGCAGTCTGAAATCTATCAAACAGGAAATCAAGAAATACTGCTAATTACTGGTAACCACAAAGTGACCACTGTAAACAAAGGAGGATTGGTAGCTGGAAATATTTTTCAAGGTAAATGGAAACTATTCATGTGAATGCCACTATATCAAATACACAGATATCAAATCCACTACACCTGTGCAAAGAGATGAAAGAGAGGCTCAGAAACATCAGTCAGAACAAGACGACTTTGGGAGAATCTGCACTTGACTGGTACCGTTCTGAAGGTAGATCAGTAAAGCAATGAATTGAAAAACTTTGTCTAGAAAATGGCTCCGTGGGCTTCTTTCAAATCCTGAGCGAGTCAATCCTCTCTGAGTCAGTGATAGGCCCTTCCACACACAGTGAGGAGGATGGACTACATTACGCGCCCTTGACATTCCATAGCATATTCTTTCCAAGCAGATACCTCACCAACAAAGGAACAAATGCTTTGAAACTTAATGGGGGAGTCTCACAGTATTGTAATGCTCCAGGGAAACTGAAGCAAAGAAGCTCGTTATTCAAGGGTCAAGAACTCTTTAGAAACATTAAATCTGGTGAGCATTTCTTTTACAAATACTCACTTGAGCAGAAGGATCTTGCATGGACTGGCACCACTTGACTGCTTCTACCGTACAGGATCGCACAGTTTCAGTACGACCGTGGTAAAAAAATCTTGTCGCAGCTGTTTCATAACAGCAACCTGGGCTAAAAGAAGAAATTAAAATGAGAATATATGCTAAGAAAGAAATTGTGATAACAGTTGTATGAGCCCCTAATAAAATGTTTTAAAAAAAAAGAAAAAAGCACCATCTTAAACTTTCAAGCAATTGTACCTCTTTTACTAAAAAAGTTTACCCTTTTATCTAATAAATGCTTAATATCATTACAGAATTCACTAAAAAAGCTGCCTAAGCCCTAAAATACAGATTAGAGATGGAACTTCCAATACCAAAAAATCTACTTTCAAAACCAAAGAGCATAAAATGCTTTGGTAGACAGGCCTGCTAAAATATGAGCTGTTTAAAAGGCTTAGCAATGGTCAATTTCCATGTATTGGAGATGTCCTCACAGCTCCCTCAAAACCAAAAAACAAAACTCACTGCCATCAAGTCATTTCCAACTCGTGGGTACCTTAGAGAACAGGGTAGAACTGGCTCTGTGGGTTATTGAGCCTGTAACTCCTTATGGAAGTAGAAAGGCTCATCTTGCTTCCTCCAAGTGTCTGGTGGCTTCTATCTGCTGCTCTGTGGTTAGTTAGCAGCCCACCACATTAGTACTGTGCCACCAGAGCGCCCCCTACATCCTATTACTCAGGCCTTTAAAAGAATCCTCTCTGAATTATGAAGGGTTCATGAGGGAGGGGGCGGGGGGTGGAAAGGGAGGGGGGAAATGAGCAACTGATATTAAGGGCTGAGATGGAGGGCAAATGTTTTGAGAATGATGAGGGCAGCGAATGTACATATGTGCTTGACACAATGGATGTATGTTTGGATTGTGATGAGAATTGTACGATCCCCCAATAAAATAATTTTTAAAAAAAGAATCCTCTCACATGGAACTGTGTGTGACCTCCTCCCTGGGGGACAGACAACCGAAAAGTGGATGAAGGGAGACGTCGGACAGGGCAAGATATGACAAAATACCCATTTATAAACTATCAAGGGTTCATGCGGGAGGGGGGAGCGGGGAGGGAGGGGAAAAATGAGGACCCAATGTCGGGGGTTTAAATGGAGAGAAAATGTTTTGAGAAACGATGTACAAATGCGCTTTACACAATTGATGTGTGTATGGATTGGGATAACAGTTGTATGAGCCCCTAATAAAATGTTAAAAAAGAAAAAAAAAAAAAGAATCCTCTCACTTTGAATGTGGGCTGTACCTATTGACTCATTTTTCATGGCAAGAATAGGGCAAAAATGAAGGTAATGTTCACTTCTGAAATTAGGATACAAAGAGCCTTTTTTACTTTCCTCACTACCTTATCATGTAAAAGCGAGTTGCAATGTTGGAAGCTTTCTCACAGAGAGGCTCTAATGGCAAGAAACTGAAGGAGGACTTGGCCAATAGAAGGATTACATTCTAAGAACTAAGTAAGCAAGTTTGTACAGATAAGAACACAGCCCTTAGCCTACACAATTTCAAGAGAAGTTTTGAGCAAAAGGCACCAGATTAGTCATGTCTGAATTCCTGATCCACAAAAACAAGAAAATAAAAAGTGTATTGTTTTAAGCCACGACAGCAGTAGAAAACCAATAGGAAATCCTTATTCTTTTATTCCTTTATTAAAATATCAATGCTTAATGAAATGCTTAGAAAATAACACAGGGGCAAATTTTCATGACCTTGGATTTGGCAAAGTTCTTAAATATGACAACAAAAGTACAATGACTAAAGAAAAGATATATCTTAGATTTAATTAAAATTTTTCACAAAAGATACTCTCAAGAGTGAAAAGATAGTACCGTAGAATGGAAGAAAAGATTTGCACATCATCTATCTGGTAAGCATCTAGTGTCCAGAACATAAAAAGCACTTTTATAACTGAGCAATAAAAAAAGACAACCCTCTACAAAAATGAGTTAAGGGTTTGAATCGGCATTTCTCTAAAGAAATCTATAAACAGCCAATGAGCATAACATCATTATGATTTTTAACATGACAAGTCAGTAGGGAAATGCAAGTAAAACCACTACTTGAGATACAGCTTCACATCTACTAAAAGTTCCCAAACTAACTGCCCACAGGTTTACTGCTAATCATAGTGACCCGACGTAGCGTTTCCGAGCCTGTAAATCTTAATAAAAGCAGACACCCTCTTCTTTCTCACAAAGAGTGGCCGGTTGACTTGAACTGGCAACCTTGCAGTTAGCAGCCCAACACTGAACACACTGTGGCCCCAGGGATCCTTTCACACCTATTAGGATGATGATTTTATTTTAATAGCCACATCTACCAGGATGACTATTCAAACAAATAAATAAATAGAAAAGAGCCAGTGTTGTCAAAGACATGGACAGATTAGAACATGTGCATTGTTGGTGGTAATAAAAAAAGGTGCCGCCACTATGGAAAATGTGCAGCAGTTCCTCAAAACATTGGCGACAGAATGACCTTATGACGAAGGCACACTCTAAAAAGAAGTGGAAGCAGGACTCCAGTTGACAAGTGTACTGAAATGTTCATAGAAACATTTACAATAGCCGAACGGTGCTAATCAACAAATAAATGGGTAAACAAAATGTGGCATGTGCATGCAATGGAAATTATCCAGCCGTAAAAGGAAGTTCTGATGTAAGCTACAACAGAGACGGATCTTGAAATCATCCTGCTACGTGGAAAGAATCAGGTCCATCAGGACAAAGAGGATATGATTCCACTTTCAGGAAGTATCTGGACTAGGTAAAATTCCACAGAGACAGAGAGATTCCATGCTCCCAGGACTGTGACAGAGCGAATGACAAAATACTGTTTAATAGGAATAGAGTGGTGTGCAACTATCTTCACTTTCCCCCCCAAACACTGTGGATGTAATCAATGCCATTGAACTGCATATTTATGATAGTTATAAAATAGTAAATATATATTTGGTATATTTTACCACAATAAAACAGATCATTGCTTGAGTCAAAAATAACATGTATAGACGTATAATATATGGCAATAATAGTACAAACAAATGGCAAAAGAAAAATAGAAGCATATTGCTTTAAGGCTCTTCAGTTACATGTGAAGTGGAAAATGTATGTAGAGGTAGGCTCTTTGCCCTTGAGCTGAATTCACTTCAGAGCAACCAAACAGTGACAAGCCTTGCTAGAAGAGACATGTTCTCCTGAGGAGTTGCTAATGGGTTTGAACCACTGAACTCTCATTAGTAGCCAATTATCCAAACACAATACTAAGACTTCTTACCTGTGAAGTGGCACATATTATTTAAAAGGAGTTGGCAATTCAAACCATTAGAAGCTCCCGAGGAGAAAGATGCGGATGTTGGCTCATTAGTCAGTCTGCTCAGACCCTCCATAGGGTCACTGTGAGGAGGGGACTCATTTGAGAGCAGGAGCTTTTGTTGTGTTTGTTTGTTTGTTTGTTGGGGAGGGGGAAGGTTGATTTATAAAGATGTATTTCACAAGCTCTACTAAAAATAAAAATGATAAAAGCATTAAAAGACGTATCGTTGGTATTGCATATAAAGTGGAACAATAGACAAAACAAAAAAAGGCAAACTATGAATGCAAAAGAAAAAATACAAAAAAGATGAGGCCAAGAGCATACAGGAGAAAAAGAAACAGCAAGAGAGTAGATTTAAACCTCATCTTATAAGTAATGACATTAAACATAAATGACCTAGGTATCAATTTAAAGATGAAGCAGTTTCTACTTATGCTTTAGATGTAAGACAGTCACAACGGCCAGTCCTAACATCCTAACAATGAGAAAGACTAAATAATCTATAGATTCATAACTTTCCATGAACTCATAAATCTGTAACCTATTAAAGATTGATTAAACCCCCAAGAACTACTGATGGAAGTGCCAATTAGGACAGTGTACCAACTGGAGGGAAGTGAGAAAAGGAAGCGGGAGAAAGGGATGGCTATGGAAAGGGTAAGCCTCTAGACTTCAGGGTTCTGAACATGACAAATGGGTGTTCCTCACCGTCCAATAAGTCTGTAATAGGCCAACTGAAGTGCAAGCTGAACAAATGTGTCAGGGTGGAGCTTCTTCTTCTTTGTTAGCTTTTTACCAAAAGATGTAAAGGCAGAAACCACAATATCGAGATCAGATGCCTAACAAAAAGAGTTAGTAAATGGGAACATCAAAAATCATATAAGGAGAATATGCCAAAGATAACAACATCACAATTTATATTAATCATCAGAAATAAATATTTAAAGGCATTACAATTTTAATTATAAAATGTGTCATAATGTATGGATTTGATAATAGCCAAACTTTATATTGTTAATTAATAAAAGAGAAAGAATTACTAGCTAAGATAAAATAATATACCTGCTTAAAAAATTGGGCCTTTGCTTGTTCTATGTCATTTAATATTTTCTCGTCCACCGTGAAAACAAGCTCCTGAGGAAGTGGCACATCCCGGACTTTCTCTGAACCCTGAAAACAGAAAAGACTTAAAAATAGTCTGTCTATAAAAAAAGTATGGTAAAGGGAAAAAATCTTTTTTTAACATACCTTCCATTTCCCTTCATTCTCAAAAATCTTTACATCAACATAATTGTTGATGTTTACCAGAACCATGGCATCATAAGGAGAATGCTGAAATGAAAACAAACAAGATGTTGAATATTTTGTCATTAAAACTTGACCCAATAGACTTACTTTCACCTTCCCTGTCTGCATTCTTTTTTTTTTTTTCCCATTTATTACAAGGTCATTTTATTGGGGGCTCCTACAGCTCTTATAACAATCCATATATCAATTGTATTAAACATATTTGTACATATGTTGCCATCATTTTCTAAACATTTACTTTCTATTTGAGCTCTCTATATCAGCTCCTCTTTTTCCCTCCCTTCCCCCCTCCCACCCTCATCTTTGTAATCATTTTATTGGGGGCTCGTACAATTAATCACAATCCATCCATCCATCCATCCAATGTGTCAAGCACATTTGTACATTTGTTGCCATCATCATTCTCAAAACATTTTCATTCTACTTGAGCCCTTGCTATTAGCTCTTCATTTTTCCCCTCCCTCCTCATGCCCCCTCCTTCACGAACCCTTGATAATTTATAAATTATTATTTTTGTCATGTCTTACACTGACCGACATCTCCCTTCACCCAGTTTTCTGTTGTCCATCCCCCAGGGAGGAGGTTATATGTAGATCCTTGTAATCCGTTTCCCCTTTCTCCTCCACTTTAACCTCCTGGTATAGCTACTCTCATTATTGGTCCTGAAGGATTTATCTGTCCTGGATTCCTTGTTTCCAGTTTTTTTTTTCTAATCATTTTATTAGGGGCTCTTACAACTCTTATCACAATCCATACATACATCAATTGTGTAAAGCGCATTTGTACATTCATTGCCCTCATCATTCTCAAAACATTTCCTCTCCACTTAAGCCCCAGCATTAGGTCCTCATTTTCCCCTCCCTCCCCGCTCCCCCGTCCCTCATGAGCCCTTGATAATTTATAAATTGTTATTTTGTCATATCTTGCCCTGTCCGATGTCTCCCTTCACCCACTTTTCTGTTGTCTGTCCCCCAGGGAGGTCACACACAGTTCCTTATAATTGGTTCCCTCTTTCCTACCCACTCTCCCTCTACCCTCCCAGTATCGCCACTCACACCACTGGTCCTGTAGGGATCATCCACCCTGGATTCCCTGTATTTCCAATTCCTATCTGTACTGGTCTAGCCAGACTTGCAAGGTCGAATTCGAGTCATGATAGTGGGGGCGGGGAGGAAGCATTTAGGAACTAGAGGAAAGTTGCCTAGCTAGTTCCCTGCCTCAGCTGGAAAGGCTCACTTCCTGTGAGATATCCCTGAGAAGCCACATGGACCTACCTGTGGGATAGAAAAAGTCTTCTCCAGTTCGACTCCCCCAAATATGTATGTTAGACTTAGGACACTGCTTGCAACTAATGATAAATGATTGTCAAGTCATCTCCCTGAAGACTCCTGCCATCCAGAGCAAGCAGACACCATTGTTTCCCCCACAAGAGGCAGAGCTCACTCCCTGCTGTTGGAGACGGTGGATTGCTTCCCCTGAAAGCTCAGGCTAAATAAAGTCTCCAGCTCTAGGGCAGTCAAGGTTAGGCCTCCATCAAGAATCTAGGATCCGCCCATCTTGTCACATGTGTACCCTCCTCCTATTGTGCGTATACCTCTAGATTGTCCCCCTCCCATTAGTGTATTACCTTTCCTGTGACGTTGTCTTTACATGTAATTAGGGGGCTTGCAGGTCCCCAAAAGATATGTAAGCCTTAGTTAGCAATAAATCTCTCTCTCTCTCCTGCCCTGGACCACCAAGAGTTGCTGAGGTGAGCTGCTACCATGAAATGAGTCTGACTCCATTATTTCAATCTCTCTTCTATCTCATATTCTCTATGACTTTACTATCATCTTTGCCTATTATCACTGTACAATTGCACCTACTGGGTCTGTGATAATTTGTTAGGGGCTGGCTACCCTGACACCTACCCTGATGTAGCCTGGGTGCTGGAGAAGCCACGTGGAGATGCTTACACGCTCACTGATTCGACTTTTCCTCCTGCATTTGGCATCATTGAGTGTGTTTTTTGAGATTGAGGAAGGCTTTGTAAATCAGTGTCAGACATATGGGCTAATGTTGGATTTATGGGCTTGGACAGCACTGGGTTGGGATGCTTTCTAAATGTACATTTACCCTTTATATAAAACTCTTTCTTATAAAATATGTGTCTATGAACTTTGTCTCTCTAGTCTACCCAGACTAACTCAGAGGAGAAGAAAGAAAATATGAAATTAACAAAAACAAAATTATGAAAGGTCAAAATTTATAAAGATGGTGAATATTTTATATTAAAATGAATATTAATAGTTGTAATTAAATACCCCAAGTACCAAAGATTGCATGTCATTTTAGAGAAATAGATACATTTAGAAATACATCCATATATATATGTCACTATAGATAGAACATATATAAAATGTTACCAATAATTAAATCAGTTATAATTTTGAAGAAATAGATGGGTCTTAAAAGAGCTTGTACTAAATTTTTAAATGCATGCAATTTACATTTTGAAACTACCCCAAATTGTTGGCCTAACTACAGATAACTTACTATCTCAACAACTCAGCTCACTGCCATTGAGTCTGTGCTGTGAACCCCATCGAGAACCCCTGTGGCTTTGTGAGATGGTATCTGTTTATGGGAAGAGATGGCCCATTTTCTCTCCTTGGGAGTTGCTGTTGGTTTTGATCTGCCAACCATGTGGATAGCAGCACAATGTGTAACCACTACACCGTCAGGACTCTTCACAAATTACTACAGCTGTACCATACTAGTATTTCCACTGAGAATTCATGATTACACTTTTCCTATAATGCCATAAACTAGAGAAGAGGTTACTTATATTACCACAAAGCATCATCAGTACTTATGGTTTACTGCCATTTGAATTCACCTAGGGGATTAAAGGAAAAATCAATTCAGTAGTATACTTACATCAGCATGACAGCCAAATAATCCATTAGAAAAGGAAACCAAGTTATAGGATTTGTCACCCCACAGTACTGTTGGATCTCCAGCAAGGATCATTGAACTTATCTAAAACAGATATAATTTTCCAAATTGATTTATTAAGTATTTTCATCTTAAACACATACATTTATATCAGCTCACTTTTCCTACTTCAAGTAAACTAAATGAGGGAAGAATAGAATTATATCCAAAGGTACTAATAATAAATCTAGCTATAACTTCAGATAGATATTTCTCAAAACCTTAAGGAAAATCTTCCAGAAGACCCAATACGATGGATTCTTAAAGAACATATCATCAAAGAGGCAAGACCTTAACAATTTGAACGGCATATACAAGGCCTTAATACGTGCAGTCATTAAAGTCTGCTGAAGAAGAAAGTACCACAAATATTCACATCCCGCTCTCGAACTACAGTCTGAACATCTATTTAACCATACTCAATGAACACACAGAGCAAATATTCACTGTTATTTTAAGAAAGTTATAAAAGTATATCCATATCCAGTTCCCTGAACCTAGAACATATATCCAATGTATATTTTAAAATAGACTTAGAAGTTTGGTGATGCTATAAATATGCTTTTCTAACTGTAGGTCATGGCCCAGCTGTGATTCACACCATCAATTCAGGACATCGTATTCAGTATTCTTCAGAAAAAGAAATGTAATAAAAGAGAAAGAACACATATCAGAACACAATGAAGACAGTTAAGGTAGCCACTGTCATACAAAGCTTCTATTATACATGTTACCACAAAGGGGCTTCAGAAAGTTTATGAGAAAATAGAATTAAAAGATACTGGTATGCTGATGATTGTACAATTCTCCTTCATATGACTGAACTATTGAAATGTATGACATATAAATGATATGCCAATAAAACTTTTTTGGGGAAAAAAAGGACAATGGTATTGTTCCACAAAATTTTTGAAGCTCCCTCACATGAGTGTGTATATATGTAAATATTTAGGCTGCTCACTCACTGCCATTGAGTCGGTTCCGATTAACAGCCAGCCTATAGGAAGAGTACAAAAGCCCCCCTGCCTTCCCAAGACTGTAACTCTTTATGGACTAGAAGCTTCATCTTCCTCCCACAAAGGGGCTAGTCGGTTTTGAACTGCTGGCCTTTCAGTTAGCAGCCCAAAGTGTAGCCCACTACACTACCAGGGCTCCTTCTACATATACTCTAATGGTGGACTGCAAGAGCGTTTGAACCATACACAATTAAAACACGGAGCAAATATCGCATGTCATTTTAGGAAAGTAAACCTTGAAAAAAATCCATATTCAGTTCCTTGTACAAAGAACATACATCTAATGGCACAGACTTTAAAATCAGCTTAGAAAGAAGTTTGATGATTCTCCTACTTAAAAAATATATATATAAACAGCTGAATAAAGAAAAGGTCGGTTTCTAGCTGTGAGGTGTTTTAATTCCAGAAAATTTTATTCCTATCATTTGATCCTGACAACTTCATTTTGAAATGATTTAAATGTTTTCAAAAGACTAAGAAGCTAATAATATGATTACTACTTTATATTTTCCAGAAAATAGCATTACCCCAAGAAAGGAAGACTAAATAAGATTGCAGTTAACTTTAAACTCACTGAAGTCAGTGTGTTCAATAAAATCATATGATATAGTAAGCTATTCATGAGAATTATATAAATATTGGACAAACATTTCCAACCCAGGTGTCAAGGCACATAGGTTTGGATTACAGGTACGGTCTCATGCTGTATCTGGTATGAGAAGCTCACTTAACCAATGTTGCGTGCAAGTTTTCCATAGGTGCGATTAATGTAAAAAAAAAGTTGAATAATGTCGGCATGAGATGTACAAAGAGGAGTGCTAAGAACATATGTGTATAAAATAAGCAGGGGAAATCTGCTCATGTTTAAGATGCACAAGAATCCTAAAAAAGGAAAAATTGTGAGAAAAAATAGAGCAAAGAGAGTTAAGTACCTGAGAATAATCTTCTGGTGTTACATGTGGACTGCCATCATTCATGCAATAAACCAATATACTGCTCTGGATTTTTTCTAATATAGTCAAATTTTCTGGAGTAAGACCAATTAGATATTCACGTGCCTAAAAGGCAAGGGGATAATGACTAAACATTACAAGTGAAACATGTTATGACCAGAAAATATAATGCATTTGTTTGGGGGAAAGTTCATTAGGAAATAGATAAATTAAAACCTTAGCCCAACGAGTACGCTCTTCACTGGTTAAAGCTGCTACCCCAGGTCCGTTGGGTTCACTATGGCACTTCTTTTGAATGTACGTCAAGTGCCTATGGAATATTTAGAGAGAGAGTCAACAAGAGCTAAGCAGCTTGAGGCAGTACATACATACACTGGAATACTACTCAGCCTATGGATATTAAGTATTCCTGCACATTACAGTATAGATAGAGCTTAAAGACATGATGCTAAGTGAAATAAGCCAATAAAAAGGACAATTTTTGTATAATCACATTTATATCAAAAGACAAGAAAAGGCAAATGTACAGAGACCAAATTTCTCAGAGGTTAACATGGGCAGTAGGGAGGGAGGAAAAGTCAGTTAACAGTGAAGGAAAAATTCCATCAAAGATAGGGTTGGATGATAGCCTATTATAAGCATTGTGCCAATAGGTTATATACCTGTAAAACGTGAAATTGGCAAAAGTGAGATAAGTATATTTACATCAATGACAAGCAAAAAAGAGAGTAGCTGTTATAACTGTTTACATACAACCAAATAGCTAATGGAATTTGCTTCTTTGATTCGGAAATTTAGGGTCATGGTTTCATGGATTATCCCACATAACTGGCCTAATAAAAGTGTTCAATGCTTTGCTACTTCCCAGTTTATGATAGTTAGTGCCCAGGTTCTTAAAAGTTTGCCAGTGACCGTCTGAACCACACCAAATGGTCTTTGTCCACGTGACACGATGGAGGAGGGCGCGTCAACAGGGGAGAAATGGGACCTGGAATGTTTAACTAACTGCATCTCTGAACAACTACGTGCCTCCTTTACCACAAAACCAGAAAATCTGAATGATGTTCACTTACAATTACTAAACATTCCGATCAGATTCCAGAGAATACCGAACAAAAGGAGGCAACTATAGAACACAATGTGAAATTATCATTGACTCTAGACTTTCTGGATCCATGATGGGTGGATGAATCCTGAAATTGTTGCTCTAACATAATCTTTAAACCTTAAAATAAAAATAATGCAAGTCTTCCTAAAACCAAACGATAGTATGGCTTAACTATTAAAAAAAATATCTGCCTTGGGGCATTATGCCCTTCCAAAAACTCTCTTTACAGGATCTAATTGACAACATTCACTCAAAAGATTAACAGGAACCCTCGGTAGCACTGAGTTTGTGAAATGAGGGAGAAGCAACTCGGAAAGGTGAGCGCGATTGTACAACCGGAAGAACGTATCAGCATCACTAAATTGTACATGTAGTGACTGTTGGATCTTTGTACATTTTTCTGTGTAAATATAGGTGTCTATTCCAGCAACCCGATGTACAACAGAATGCAACACTGCTCAGTCCTGCACCGGCTTCACAACCATTCTGTTGAAGGTCACTGTCACAGCCACTGTGTCAATCCGTCCTGTTGAAGGTCTTACTTTCTCTGACCTTCTATTTTACCAAATCCAGAGAACTGAAAACAGGGCTACAAACATGAAACTGTCCATCAACGTTCACTGCAGCACTATTAACACTAGTCAAAATGTGAAATGCCCATCAATAGATAAAAGAACAAGAAAAAATGATACACACACACAACAGAGTATTATTCAGCCCAAAAGATAAATGCAGTCTTCCTACAGGTTACAACATAGATGTATGAACCCTGAAAACATTTGCTGAGTAAAATAAGTCAGTCACAAAGGGACAAACAGTGGCTGATCCTTCCTATACATGAAATAGGCATGAAACGAAAGCTTATTAGTGGTGACCAGGTGGGAGTGAGAGGGGAGGGGACGTCATTGCTTGGAGCACTGAGTGTCTGTTCATGAGGGTGCAATCATTTTGAAAAAAAGACGGTGATCACAGTGGCACAGCATGGTGAGTATAATCCGTGCCACTGAATTGTACATGTAATTGTAGCTGTACAAACTGCTAAATCAGAAAATGTTACTTACCAAAATTAAAGAGTAAGAAATAGATTAATAAAATATTTAGAAAATCTTTCAGAATTTGATGAAGCTCTCAAATTGTACAAAAGAGGACAATTTTTTATCATGCTGAAAAAGGAAAATCCCACAATTGATGTATGTATGGATTGTGATAAGAGTTGTATGAGCCCCTAATAAAACGATTTTTTAAAAAAAGAAAGAAAAAGGAAAATCTCATGTAAAAGATTTCTTATTGTGCTATCATAATTTGTCTGAAACACTGTAAAAAAATCAGTAATTGATTCTTCACTAGCTATAATTCACTCAAAACTCAAACTCACTGCCATCGAGTCAATTCTGACTCACAGCCCCTCTAGTAGTGGGGAGACCAGCCCCTGGGGGTGTCTTTATGGGAACAGAAGCCCCTTCTTCCTCCCAGTGAGCAGCTGGCTTTGAACTACAGTGAAAGACAAAGCAAAATTTTAGAAAATAATTTATTATCTTCTTAGAATTTGATAAGGAAATAAAATCAGGGCACAAAAAGTTTGGTCCATATGGTAAAAAATTGACATTTTGAACTAAATTTAAATTAAGAACTTCTGTTCATCATAAAAACACCTGTACGACGCCTCAGTAGTGTACAGCGTTTCTTACACTGAAGAGACATCTTGAAGAGAAAAGGCAGTTAGCATGTTCTCCAATTCTGTGAAGTTCAACACCTCGAACTAGTAAGGAGCTGAGACCCAGAATCTATTACCACCTCTTAGAATACTCAAGCTGGTAGACGTGCTTACTGAAACAAGCGCTTGAGAAAACTGGCAAATTGACTGAATCTACTGTGCACGTCCCTATGGCTCAGCAAGTCTTCTCTTAGGCGGGGGATGCATACTGGAGAGCAACTCATGCACATGGGCACTACAGACTTGTACAGAATTGTGTACAGGTACTTTTTTAATAGTAAAAACTATCGGCAATGTGGGTGACTGCCTTGGAAGTAAAGGAAAGCATAGGAAGTGGTTGGAGGTGCAAGGGGACTTCTGGACCACTGGAAATTTTCTATTAGTTGACTTGAATGGTGATTGTGTGAGTAATTGGTTGTACAATTATGTGTGCAATATTGTACATGTTGGTTACACATAACAAAACTATATAAAATGTGTATATAGACACATACTACTCAACATTTGTAGGACAATCTAGGAAGTTTGAACACAGTATTAAGAGATAAATATTGTTAACTCTTTAAAAGAAGTATATCATTAGGTGAAATGATGGTGGTGTTGTATGTGTGTTTTAGAGATATGTACTAAAATAATTTGGTAGATAATATTAAATGGAGATTTCATTAAAAATAATCCAGAAGGGAGTGGGGCACAATGAGAGATGAAACAACATTAATTGTTGAAACTAGCAGTTAATAGCTACTGAACTAAGGGATGAATACAAGGAGGCTTCAAAAAGTTCATGGAAATTTTCCGTTATCTTTCAATTAGAAAATTCCACAAACTTTTTGAAACACTTTCATACAGGAGGATTACATTAGATTATCTTTCATTTTGCTATTATCTATAATAAAGTTTAAAACTACATACCGTATATACTTGAGTGTAAGCCAACCTGAGTATCAGCTGAGACACCTAATTTTACCACAAAAACTGCATAAAAAAATGTGCTGAAAAACTCGGCTTATACACAAGTATATATGGTATATATACACAGATAAATAACAAATGTTTGTGTATATGTATACATTTTTTTAAAATGTTAAGCTATGCGTACATGTAAATTCATTGAATGAGGTTTGGAAGGATAGAAGACACTAAACTATTAACAGTGATTAATTGTGGGCAGGGAATGAGGGTAATATCTCAAATTTTTTCTTTTCTCCAAGAAGCATGTATTCATCTACCTCTAGTAAAATTGAAATTTTGAATGAGAAATAAAATTAAAGTGATTTTAAAAATCAACATAAAAAAATCCTTACTGTCACCTAATACAGAGGCCATTCTGTGCATTAATTTTTTTTCAATCAAGCAAGAATCTACGTCCTAAGAAGATTCAAGGCATACAAAGTAGTTTGAAAACCTGAGAATCTCTGGTGGGGTGATCAAACATCCTTCATGTATTACATCAAAGGCAAAAACTCGGCCTCGACACAGCACTGCAATGTGGCTTGGGGAACACCCTTCGCTCTCTGGAATAAGGAACAGAAAACAAGACCCAAATTTCCAAAAGTTAAAAAGGAGCAAAGTTAATTATTTATATCCAAGAGAAAAGAAGAAATCAATCATTTCTCCAATATTTTACATATCTGATTAGAAATATATTACATGAACAAAAAGTAATAACTTAATGGAGCTTCAGTTATTATGACACACACACACTGGTGAAACTTGTTCATGTGAAACATCTAGAAATCCACAAGCATTTCAAATGCTTGCACCCCATGGAATCATATAAATTTCAAACTATTGCTAACTTTATTTAGGAAAAGGAACAAAGAGAAAGAAGAGTAGCAGAGGAATCCTGCAGGACAGTCATTTGAATGAACATGTCTCTTTCTAGAATTATTGTAATGTTAATTGCTCACAGATAATTTAGTTGTAGTAATGTCTAGCTATGGTTTCCCAAATAACTTTCAGTAAAGAGAAACAAAAATAAGGGCAATGCATGCTCTAGTAACAGGGAAAGGATCTGACCCTGTCTGTCATTTACATAAAGCACTGAGTACATCTGGGATGCCACTGATAAGCCAGCCTAGGCTTCCTGTGGCACACCATGACTACCTGAGAACTGCTGACTTGCTGTGCACCTCGGACTACTTTGATATGTTACTATTTTTGAGGCATAAGTCCCTTTACCAAAAGTACTCTTACATGATCTCTGTGCCCTCCCTCTAAAAAAGGACAAAAGAAAAAGGAGATAGAAAAGATAACACTGACACTGAAATAAATTTCCCTAGTTTGCATTATACACACGGAACTAGGTTAAGTGTTCTATGCACATCATCCCATGAAATATGTTCATCTCCTATAAGGCAGGAGTCTCTGGATGCCACTTATAATATAATATATATTATAATATAATATAATATTAGACTGGTCTGAGTTTCTGGATATGGGACCCCTAAGCACAGACTCTTCTTTCAATGTCTAACACAGTGAGCAATATTGATCCCCCGGCCCAAGTGATGCTGCAATGACCCAGAGGGGCTGCGCAAGCAGATAGCTACACTTTGTCCTGGTTGATGGGCTATAGTGCAAATATTTTTAAGTGCCGGGGGGGCATTTTTCCCTTGAAATTTTTTTCTAAAAAGGGGGCAGTAGGCCAAATGAGTTTGGGAATCTATGTCCTAGAGCCAGCAACTTGAATTCCAACTCCTAGACTCCCAAACTGCAGCAGGGGGGATGTATTATATAAAGTGGCTCTTCTAGCCAAAGTCTGTTAACTCCCCTAAATACCTTTTTTTCCTGCATGGACCTGGTGAGGTGTGGAAAGTACTGAGAGGATTCACTTGTGAGTAACTGTGACTAGGATGCGCTGCAATGCCATCCTACTGTATATAAAATGAGACTTACAGGAAGCAGGGGGAGAGTTCTCAATACTAGCAAGAGCCAGGAGTGGAGCACATACTCCAGCCTTAGGATCCCTGTACAATGAACCTTCTGGATTCGGCAGATAGCTATAACACGAGAGGAGCAGCAACAGAACCAAGAACCCAAGCATGGAACAAAGCGATGGACTTCCCACCCCATGGAGCAAGTAAAGCTGGGAGGCTTTTGTGCAGGAGGCTGGCTTGGAGAGTGGGGTAAGTCTGGGCACTTAATTCAGGAAGCTGGTTTTTCTGACCTTCACAAGTGGAGCTGGGTCATTTCAGGCTCTGGCTTACTGGAGTGGGGTGCCTCTGGGCACTTCATTCAGGAAGCTTGAGCTGAATGCCTTCAGGTTTAGCTTCCAGCAGAGTGCTATGCCCTTTGGGGCATTTATTATCATACATAAAAGAACTCTGTAACCTGTCCTGATGACCACATCAACCCAGAGCATTTCTACCTGGCATGATAACTTGTTAACTTCCTTAATAAACCATTTGATCATGTATTTTGCCATTGCAATGGATATTCTAAAACCCAGGGAAGTGAAATAGAGAGCACTAAGCAAAACTTCCTTCAATTATGAAAAAAGTAGTTGTTTGTTACAGCCACCCACTTGTGGTATTTCTCCTACCACAGCTCTAGATAACTAACACAAAGACTGAGTTCAAAACCAGGTGTGTTGATATTTGTTCTTCATTTCCCAAATTCTACAAGCACAACTGGGTATAAAACTTTTGCTTTAAGAGAAAATTTTAAATAACAAATTTCCCATATTCTACAAGCACAACTGGGTATAAAACTTTTGCTTTACTTTCCCATATTCTACAAGCACAACTGGGTATAAAACTTTTGCTTTATTTTCCCATATTCTACAAGCACAACTGGGTATAAAACTTTTGCATTAAGAGAAAATTTTATATAACAAAATATTCATTCATAACTATATTTTTAAAATTAAAATGTTTAAATAAAAATTTTTGGAATAACTGGAAACAGAAGTCTGATGGCTGAATCTGCGTTAGGGGCCTCCAAGAAGATGGAAAGGCCCAACCTTACGTAAAGAAGAAAAGAAAGGCTGTTCACTGAACTAAATGAGGCACTATTATCAAATGCTCAGAATGAGAATTCAGATAAGGGATAAGGATAGGAGGGAAAGCATACAGATTCTTTACATCAGGATTTTATTAATACTGATTCATAATTCTACTTTTCAGTAAAATTTTAAACTCTCAAAGGTATAAAATAAGCATCAGGTCTGTGTTCAACCATGTTAGTAAGGTTCAGCTTAGAATACCCATTCCCTTACATTACATCCAAAGCCAGCAAAGATAGTTATAAAGCTAGAAAGACATCTTGCTCACAATAATGTTTCATAGTATCAAAGTAGAAACTACAAATCTTAATGCTTTCATGAATACAAGTACCCATAATTTAAACTTACCAGTATTAAAATAATTAACAATGGAATCTCTAGTAATTCCTGGGACCTTGCAGGTAGAAAACAGCATTCGGAATTGATTCATATCTAGAGGAGTATTTCCAACTTTATGAACAGGCAGTTTTTCTCTATTAAAACAGAAACATATTTTTATCAAGAAGTTATCATAAAACTTAAAAACCCTCAAGTAAAAAGCAAATGTTTTGAGAATGAAGATGGCAACAAATGTGCTGGACACAATGGATGGATGGATGGATTGTGAAGAGTTGTACGAGCCCCCAATAAAATGATTATGAAAAACCCAAAAACTTAAAAACCAAACAGTCACAACTATAGCATTCGTCCCTAGATAAGTAAATTCAACATTGTGCCATCTGAGATTTGGGGTAAATCTAGTACTGAATTATCATAAATGTCCTTACTTTCTTAATAGTTGCCAATAGTTCAAGTTATGCCAAAGGTTTATACTTCCTCTTTCTAAATTAGTGCCCTTTTTGGGAGGCCAGTAATGTTCGTTGTGGGCCGCAGGACCAGCAAAGTTGACATTCAGTTGTGATGGTATGCGAACATCCAGGTAAGCAACATTCAGCCACCACTCTTCCAGCTAAAAGAATTAAGACCATCAGCCTAATGTTCTTCAGAATAGTTGAATGCATAACTACTGACCGAAACAAAACGCCATCTCTGTTCGTTACTCCTCAACACTTAAAAACACATTTCCTTATTTTTAAATCATCACAGATTTTGAAAAATGCTATGATATTAACTCCTTCCTTTTAAGACTATAAGAGCTTCATTATTATTATTCTGTTTAGCATACTATAAGCGAAAGCCCTGAAAAGGAACCTTGTGTACAGTATCTTATCATATGGAAGCCACAAGACCCAACAATGTACCTGAGTGTTTGCTTAAAGAACCCAGGGGAAAGAGATAGTCCATAAACGCTCATCTAATGATAACAATGACAAAGGCATTTACATTTCCCCTTTCAAAAAAACCTGACATACTAAATCAGGAATATTTCTAAAATTCATGAGGATTAATATAGATTTTTCAAACACAAATTTCCATGTGTTCAATAACCTCTCGTATGTGGGCAGTCCCACTTCTATGCTATCTAACTGTTGATTTTAATGCAGACATAAGCAGATCTTATGAAGTTATTTAAGATTATTTTTAAATAAATTGATTTTATGAGCTAAAATTAGTCATTCAGAAAAAGATACGTAACAAGAGTACAAACTGAACAACTTTTTTACCCTCACCTTCTTCAACGGAACCACCCAAATCTCAGCACTGCAAATAAAGGGCTTGGGAGCTTAGAGTGAGTGGTCTCTTCTTCACAGACCAGCAGCTCATAAAAGATCAGCGTTTGAGTTCTAAAAGGTAGTTACAATCATTTCCTGACAGAAGCAACGTTTTTAATTATAAAAATTCATCTGGTTTCATCTGAGTTTTTCTCAAACTAGACGAGTAAAGTAGTAGCTGAGCTGAAGAAGCCAATGAAGATTCCCTGTGGAAAAGCACCGAGACCTTACTTTTGTAGCAGTTTCTCCCTAGGTCTGTCTATGGAAACAACACTGAAAACCCTTCTCTGTCCCATTTGTAATGACTTTTCACTCCTCTCTACTACATCACCTATGTCATATAGCTCCTTTTGTGTTTTGAGTACTTTCATCTTTTCAATTATAAATTTTAAAAACTTAAGTACCCAATTTCTTTATGCTTTTATCCTTTTGAGTAATTTCTGCTGCAATTTTTCTCTGATCCCATTTTGAAATTTTTTTTAACTATTTCTTCCGTTTTCCTATATTCTTCTTAATTTACCAATAATCTAGACAAAAATTTGCTATAGTAATCTAGACAAGAATGTTTTCTCAAGCACAGAGTACTTATCACCTGCACCAGAATCAGGGGGTGTTATTAACATGCATACTTTTGGGCTGCAGGAGAGGATGCCAACTTCCAAGATAATAGCAGATACAGTCTCATAACGTGAGGTGACATAGGAAGGAAGTGCAGATACTGAAAGATGATGAATAACAACTATTACAGTTTTTTTAAAAATAAAGAGGGAGGTGACGGATAGGGGATTTCTGAGCCCCAATTCCATACTACTGCGTCAGACTCACTCACCCTAAAAATGTGCATTTTAACAAGTTCTCCATTTGATAAGCTAGTGGGCCATGCAATAACACGCAAAACTCTTGAATTAAATGATTTGTTCATTCTTTTGGATGGTAATAGTAATAATTGCAAGAGTTTCTATAAAATGACTTCAAAATGCATGATATATTAATTTTTCAATTATAAATACAAAAACATAAGTACCCAATTTCTTTTTTCTTTTGCCCTTTGAAGTAATTTCTGCTGTAATTTTTCTCCAATCCCATTTTGAAAATTTTTAACTATTTCTTCAGTTTTCCTATATTCTTCTTCATTTGCAAATGGTTTTACTATGAAAAAAATACACATTAAGTTATTTTGACATTAAGTACTACCAACACATTTCAATTATTATGTATAGTGTTCACTGACAAATAATTAAAATATGGTAATAAATATCAAAGCAATCTAGTAAGTTATAACAGAGCTTATAATATGAATATGACTTAAAAGCAACAATTCAAAATACTGTAAAAAGTGATATAGTGGATACTGTATAATCTGATAACCATTTTCTCAAAAATTATTTTAAAGTCATTCTAGATCAGTTACAATTACAGGGACTATAATTTTGCAATTATTTACATGGGTAAACAAATTCTGTTTATCCACACATACAAATAAGGCAATAAACACACAATGCTAGATGCCTAGTTGATTGCAATTCATAGAAGAGCGTAGAAGTAGCCTATAAAGTTTCTACGGTTATATGTCGTATCTTTACGTTAAATGCCATATCTTTCCCTGTGTAGTGGTGGGTGGGTGGGTTTGAACCACCAACCTTTTAGCTAACAGTTGGGAGCTTAACCATTGAATGTCCAGGGCTCCTCTTGAGTCACGCAAGTACCACTTAATTGTGCGCATGTAAAATTTGTACTTACACCAAAGGGTGGCTATTCAAATAACACAAAGTAATTCTGCATAGTTTAAAACCAGCAAAGGTACCATATATACTCATGTATAAGCCGAGTTATCCAGCACATTTTTAATGCAGTTTTGTGGTAAAGTTAGGTGCCTCGGCTGATATTCAGGTCAGCTTATATTGGAGTATATGCGCTATCAGGGTTGAAGCCTTCACCATATGTGATAGGTAAGGTTTATTGTGCCAACCTGGCCAATGAACACATGTGGGCTTAATTGAAGGGTGGAGAGAGAAATGGCTTGGCAAGCCTCGCCTTTCTTGTCTCTTGCTCTCTGATGCTCGGACCAGTGTGCGGCTGCCTTAGCTAGTTCTCTGCCTCAACTGGCAAGGCTTACTTCCTGTGAGACATCCCTGAGGACAAGCCACATGGACCTGCCCTGATGCAGCCTTGGGAGCTGGAGAAGCCACGTGGAGACCCCTGCCAGCACTGAACTACTTGCACGCTTACTGACTTGACTTTCCTCCTGCATTCGACATCATTGCGTGTGTTTTGTGAGACAGAGGAGGACTTTGTAGATTGGTGTTGGACACGTGGGCTAATGTTGGACTTAGGGGCCTGGACAACACTGGGTTGGGATGCTTTCTTAATGTACATTTACCCATTATATAAAACTCTCTCTTATAAAATGAGTGTCTATGAATTTTGTTACTCTAGTCTACCCAGACTGACTCACCCCACTTGTTCGATTTTTATACTGAGCAAATAATCCAAGCAGCAGGACTCTGAAAAGAGCATGGAGTTGGGATGAAACGAAGACTCATAAGCAACCTGCAATATGTAGCTAAAACAACTTCTGTCGTTGAAAGCAAAGAGGTCTTACAGCATTTACTGATGAACAGCAAAGACTATCGCCTTCAGTACAGGTTACACCTCAGCATAAAGCAAACAAAAATCCTCAAAACTGAATCAATAAGCAGCATTATAATAAATGGATAAAAGGCCAAATTTTTCAAGGATTTCATTTTACTTAGATACAAAATCAACAACCATAGAAGCAGTAGTTAAGAAATCAAGTGTGATATTGCATTGAGAAAGACTGGTGCAAAAGACCTCTTTAAAGTGCCAATAAGCGATGCTGTCCCTTTGAAGACTGAAGTTTGCCTGACCTAGGTGTCAGTGTTTTCTTCTCTGTTTTTTTCCCTCGGTGTTTTCAATTGCCTCATATGAAGGCACACTATGGACAATGAAGAAGATGAAGACATGCATATGAAGAAGATTGTAAATACCATGGACTACCAAAAAACTAACAAGTCTGTTTTGGAAGTAGGATGGTCTGAATACAAGTACTTTGAACGTGTTATCAGGAGGGACCAGTCCCTGGAAAAAGAAATTATGCTTGGTAAGAGTCAGCAAACAAGACCATCAAAGACAACAAAGCTGATGCAAGAATAGGCTCAAGCATAACGAATGGCTCAGGACCAGGCAGAGCTTCCTTCCGTTGCTATGATTTGTCTAAGTTAATAGCACCTAACAACAACAGCAACCTTGGTGGCACTGCCATGTAGAATTATTGAACTGCTAATCACAGGTCGATGGTTCAAGTACAGATGCAGTCGTCTGCTTCTATAGAGATTTACTAGCCTTGGAAATCCTATATTGAGTGACTATCAGTCAGAATCCATCCAAAAGCAGTGAATTTTTGTTTGTTTGTTTGTTTTGGGGGGAGGGGTGTCTAGCAACGACAGCGTTGAGTAAGAGAAGGAGTTAAAGGTATATTGCCACTGATACTCAGTACAGAGCTGCGTAAAAGCCTACTCAAAGCAGTTTAAGCCATCTCATGGCCAGAGATGGCTTTCTGCTGAAAAATTAAAGGAGTATAGAGGGCAGTTATGCCAGTGGAAACCAAGTGTTCTGAGCATTAAATTATGAATTAAAGTAAATTAGAAATTCATCCAAGAAAATAAAGAGACATTAGTATCCTTATCGTTTCATTTTTGTCTCTTTAAAATAGGGTTTCCAAGGAATATAGGGTCTCCAAGGAAAAAAAATCTTATCTGGAAAGCTTTAAAAAAGTGAAGTGGTCACAACAGCCAAGCACAAATTGAAATATCTAGGGATATACCTGACTTAAAGAACAAAAGATCTATATGAGGAAAACTACAGAACACTATTACAAGAAACCAAGAGTGACCTAAATGAATGGAAGAATATCCCATGCTCATGGATTGGAAGGCTCAATATAGTCAAGATGTCAGTTCTGTCAAAGGCACTATATAAGTTTAAAGCAATCCCGATACAATTAACCTCATCTTTCTTCAAAGAAATGGAAAAACTGATTATCAACTTCATATGGAGAGGGAAGAAGCCCCGAATTAGCAGAGGACTCCCGCAAAGAAGAAGGACACAGTGGGAGGGCTTGCTTTACCTGACGTTAGCACATACAATACAGCCACAGTTGTCAAAACTGCATGGTATTGGTTTAATGACAGATACTCAGACCAATGGAAAAGAACTGAAAACCCAGAAATAAAATCATCAGCATACAGACAACTGATCTTTGATAAGGGTGCAAAAAATATCAAATGGGAAGCAGATGCCTTATTCAACAAGTGGTGCTGGAAAAAATAGATATTTACTTGCAGAAAAATGAAGATCCTTATCTCACTCGATTCACAAGAATAAACTCAAGGTGGATCACAGACCTCAAGGAAAACCCGAAACTATTACGGCCATCAATGAGGGAATTAGGACCAACCTGAGAACTTCGGTGTAAGGAATACATAGGCTATCAGAAATAGGGAAGGATACAAATACAGAGGAGTCACAAATGGACTAGTGGGATATACTGAAGATAAAACACCTGTGTACATCGAAACAGTTCACCAAGAGAGTAATAAGAGAGCCGACAGACTGGGAAAACATCTTTAGCAATGATACATCAGACAAAGAAAGGCCTTATTACTAAAGTCTATAATACTTTGCAAGCTTACAATAAGAAAAAAACTACCTGCCCACTAAGGAGGTGGGCAAAGGACCTGAACAGAAGTTTCACAAGGGCAGAAATCCAAATGGCCAATAAACATATGAGAAAATGTTCCAGATCATTAGCCCTAAGAGAAATGCAAATTAAAACAACAATGAGATATCACCTAACACCTTCAAAGACAGCCCAATTCAAAAAAATCAGAAAGCAACAAGTGTTGGAGGGGCTGTGGTGAGATAGGAACTCTCGTCCACCTGCTGGTGGACCTGTAGTTATGTAGAGCCACTATAGACAGCAATTTGGCAATATCTAAAACAGATGGAAATTGAGCTACCATACGATCCAGCAATCACCCTACTGGGCATATACCCAGAAGAGGCAAGAAACAAACCACGGCCAGACATCTGTGCTCCAATGTTCATCATGGCACAGTTTACAATTGCAAGCAGTTGGAAACAACCCAAAGTTTCATCAACAGACAAATAGATTAAAAAACTGTGGTACATACATACTATGCACCACTAAAAAGCAGTGATGAATGCATGAAGCACATTGCCGCATGGGAAGAACTAGAGGAAATTATGTTAAGCGAAGTAAGCCAAGCACAAAAAGACAAATACAACATAAGTCTGCTAAGGTAAGCTTATTAAAAAAAAATGCTAAAGGGGCAGAGGGAAAAAGCTACTATATACAAACATTACTGGGGTGAGGTCCAGGTAGTATGGCAGGGGCCAGACCAAATCCAAGGATACATATGGTAGCTAACTAAAAAGGAGGGGGGAAAAAAAGGGAAAAAAGAAAAGAAATGGGTAGCCGGGGAACAGGGCCCCAACCCACCCAAGGGGAGGGTATTGTTTAAATCTCCACAGCGAAAGAGGGACCAGACTTCAACCCGGTGCTCCAAGATGTGAATGCATGAAGCAGGGAACCAGTAGAGAGGTCTGAGGGTCCAGCCCCAATCCCAACTACATGGAGAGTCGTACCCCCAAATAATTCACTTCAGAGGACAGCACTGAAGCTACAGCTCAGGGAGAGGGACATGTCTGATCAGAGCACACAGGAGCAAATGAAAGGGGACAAAGAGAGAGTGGAGCACATCCTGGCCCACCAAACCTTGAGGATGATTTCCTCACTCAGAATAGCCAATGCACAGTGAGGACCATAAGGCCGACCCCACTATGAGACACAACGTCCCTCACTGACCCATACATAGCCCTACAGGGGACAACACTGGAGACACAGTGTAGGTATTGTGCCCGATCTGACCCCACCACACTGAGGCAAAACACTAAGGGCATACAATAGAACAGCAAGGGGAGCAGAGCAAGGAAGTCCCGAGGGAGTACAAAAAATAGACTTTGGGGTCAGGGCATGGCACCCCATCACACTCGACCACCGGAAAATACTCCTAAATGTCAACAAACAGACCTTAACCTATTTACAGGCTTTTCTTTCCTTTTTTTTTGTCACTGGTTTTTTGTTGTTTTGCTTTCTTTTGTTGCTTTGTTTTGCTCTGTCTTGTTTCAGTGCACATTATCTCTTCAGGTCTATCTAGATAAGACAGGCTGGATGAACAATCTGGAGGAGAAAACAACAGACCGATGGTTCCAAGGGGACATGGAAGAGGGGGAGGTAAAGGAAAGGAAGTGGTGTTAACAAACCCAGGGACAAGGGAACAACAAGTGATCCAAAATCAGTGGCAAGGAGGGTGTAAGAGGCCTGGTAGGGCTTGATCCAGGGCAATGTAACCGAGAGGAATTACTGAAACCCAAATGAAGGCTGAGCATTATAGATAGTGGGACAGAGGAAAGTAAAAGGAAATAGAGAAAAGAACTAGGAGGCAAAGGGCATATAGCGGTCTAAATACAGGCATGTACATATGTAAATATATTTATATCTGATGGGGAAACATATCTATGAGCATATATGTATAGGTTTATTATTAAGGTAGCAGATGGACATTGAGCCGCCACTCAAGTACTCCCTCAATGCAAGCACTGGCATTCCATGATTCTCACCTTCCCTACACTATCGCTGAAGACAAATGGGTGCATAAGCAAATGTAGTGAAGAAAGCTGATGGTGCCTGGCTATCAAAAGATGTAGCATCTGGGGTCTTAAAGGCTTGAAGGTAAACAAGAGGGCCATCTCGCAGAGCAACATGGAAGAAGCACACCAGCCTGTGTGATCACAAGGTGTCAAAGGGATTAGGTATCAGGCATCAAAGAACAAAAAATGTTATCATTGTGAATGAGGGGGAGTGCGGAGTGGGGACCCAAAGCCCATCTGTAGGCAACTGGATATCCCCTTACAGAAGGGTCAAGGGGAGATGAGCCAGTCAGGGTGCAGTGTAGCAACCACGAAACATACAACTTTCCTCTAGTTCTTAAATTCTTCCTCCCGCACATTATCATGACCCCAATTATACATTACAAATCTGACTAGACCAGAGGATGTACATTGGTACAGCCAGGAACTGGAAACACAGGGAATCCAGGACAGATGATCCCTTCAGGACCAGTGGTGAGAGTGGTGATACCAGAAGGATGGAGGGAAGGTGGAGTAGAAAGGGGGAATGGATTACAAGGATATACATATAATCCCCTCCCTGGGGGACAGACAACAGAAAAGTGGGTGAAGGAGACATCGAATAGTGTAAGATATGACAAAATAATAATAATTTATAAATTGTCAAGGGTTCATGAGGGAGGGGGGAACGGGGAGGAAAGGGGAAAAATGTGAAGTTTATACCAAGGGCTCACATAGAAAGCAAATGTTTTGAGAATGATGAGGGCAACAAACGTACAAATGTGCTTGACACAATGGATGTATCTATGGATTGTGATAAGAGTTGTATGAGGCCCCAATAAAATGATTTTTTTTTAAAGATTATCTTACAATCAACTAAATTTTTCAAATAAGATATGTTTTGATCTCTAATTCAATTAACACGTTTGGAATTAGACTTTTAAGACACCTAAGTAGTTTTAACATCTACACTGTCAAGGGTGAGTTATTCCCTTTAGCTCATTATTTAGTTTGATTTAATGTTTCCACAAGTTTAAGTTCCTTGTTCTTTCATTTTGTTCTTGGAACCTCACACAGAAAAACTTCTTTCTTCTTGTCATGTACTCCGTCAATATTTTTGTTGATAATCAAATCAGTATTTTTACTTTTTAAAGTATATTTATCTTTATCGATTAAAGATATTTTAATTATGCATACAATTTTAGTTTTGTGATCATTTTCTGCCAGCATTGTTAAACTTTATTTTTCTGTTTTCTGGCATCTGTTCAGACCATAAGGCGCCCTCGTGGCATTCTGCTTAAGCAGCAGTCTACTACCCCCAAAATCTGTGTTTCAAACCTACCTGTGACTCCAAAGGTGGAAAATAAGGCTGTCTGCTCCCATAAAGATTTATATCCTCAGAATCCTTAAGCAATAGTTATTTTCTGTCAGACAGGATCACTATGAGTCAGAATCAACCTGACAGTGGTTTGTTTGGCTTGGCTTTTGGCTACAAAGACCATCGATATTTTGCTGTGACATTTTAGGTTGGATCTTTTCTTCCTCACTGCTCTTAAGTTTGCTTGTTTTCTTTCCTTTGATGTGGTAATTTGCCAATTATTTCTGCGTGGACCTTTCTCTTTATTCATTTATCATTGGATGAAATTCTAGATTCAAAGTTTTTGTTTGATTTTTTTTTCAATTTTAGGAATTTATAAATTATAATTTTAAAATGATTGTCTTATTTTTTATGTTATTTAATGTTAGTGATTTGTTTAGATGTGTTTTGTTACTTTTCATTCTAGATGTTAATCTATCTAAACCATTTCTTTTTCTCTTTTTTTCTTATCCCTCTGTATTGTGTTTTGGGGAGCTTTATCTTCTGGTTTATTAATTTTCTCATTACCACAGCTTAAATATTTGACCCAAACCTTTCATATTAATTTTCTTTATTATATTTGTCAATAATTTAAGTTGTATTTGGTACTTTATCAATATAATTTGCTAAGTTTATAGCTATTTGTTCTTCCTATATTATGTTGATTTTCAATTTCAATTTATTTAAACATATTAAACATAATTCCAATGTCTGAAAAAAAAGTGAAGTGGGCTTAAAGCATTTACTTTTGAAGATCAAAGACTAAGTCTCACATGTGAGAGTTAGAGAAAAAAAGAAAGTTTGAGATGATGAAATCAAATAGTAAATAAACAAAAAAGGGAAAGGCATTCATAATGGAGCAGAGGACTAATTAAAAAATTATTCTGAAACTCTTTTTACTTAGGTCCAAGTAAAAAAGAGTTTCAGAATAAGAACAAAACCAACTGGGAAGAGAAAATTATCACAAAGAGAAAAAAGGGAAATATTTTTTGAATTCCCTAAAAATGAAAAACATAATTTTTTTAAACTGGAAGAATCCAGTGAGTTGTCAAATAATGAAGGAAGGCACATCACTGAAAAAATAAGAATATTAGGAATGAAAATGAAGAGGTTTCTAAATGTATCCTGAGAGTGAAGATCACAGGCCACATGTAGAGGATAAAAAATTAACATCACTGTCCGGAAGAAGCCACGTGTAGACCTTGTCCTCTGTTCCCCCTTTCTCCCTCACGCTCCCTCTACCCTCCCGCTATCGCCACTCTCTCCAGTGGTCCTGGGGGTTCATCTGTCCTGGGTTCACTGTATTTCCAGTTCCTATCTGTGCCAGTGGGTGAGGGAGACGTTGGATGGGGTAAGATATGATAAAATAATAATAATTTATAAATTATCAAGTGTTTAGGGGGAGGGGGGAGCAGGGAGGGAAGGGGAAAATGAGGAGTTGACACCAAGGGCTCAAGTGGAAAGCGGGTGTTGTGAGAATGATGAAGTCAACATATGTACTAATGTGCTGGACACAAGTGACGTATGTACAGATTGTGATGAGTTGTATGAGCCCCTAATAAAATGATTATTTAATAAAAAAATACATTTCTTTCAGAATAGATTTGATAGCAGCTACCATTAAAGAATGTGGTATCATGAAATGATCTGTAAAATATATCTAGATCTCAAAAATAAATAAATAAATAAAAAATTAAAAAATATATATATATATCTAGATCTCACAACAGATTTCATTAACCATCAATTTTGTATTACAGTTACAATTGCTTGTGAATTGAAATATTACAAAACAATAAACACTGTAAAATTTACACTTGAAAAGTACATATTAAATTTTTTAAAAAATTAACATCAGACTTCTCAAGGAAACAAAATTTTCTTCAGAACTCTTTAAAAAAAATCATTTCCAACTAGAATTCTATCCTTAACCAAATAAACAAGTATGAAGATAAAATAAATACTTTTTTTAAGCCTTACATTTTCCCTTCTAGGCATCCTGTCTCCCAAGTAGCTACTAAAAACATGCTGCACTAAAATAAGGAAGTGAATTGAGTAATAAAATGACACAGAATCTGAGAAACAGAGAGAGTTGAAGTGTCAGAAGGATACCAAAGGGAAATTCTAAGATGCTAACAGGCTCAAGAAAACTAGCAATGATTGGAACAAAAAGTAGACGGCTCCAGGAGGGATATCTCCAAGAGAGTGAGATTGATAGAATATTTAAAGTATTTTAAATATATCCAGTGACTGTTAGTATGTTGAAATTTTTGGAAATAAGTTATTTCTAGATACAAAGGAAACTAAACAAAAAAGGTACTATAATCAAAGTACACTGCATGGTTGGCTTATGAATGAGAATTTAATGTCCATAAATCTTGAATGTTGATTTAATCCCAAATGGTAACTGCACAACTATATTGAGCAGTTGAGAGGTAAAGCCTGGGTATATTGGGTAGCATATAAGCTGAATGGGGTTGAGAGGGGTTGTGTGATCAGAGCGACAGCCATATTTTTGAGGAAATTAACTTATAATATCAATAACAAAAAGAACCAAGAAATAGCAAAAGAGTATCAGTTTATCTGGAGAGGACAACATATGTACTACAGGGGAAATTATAAGCGAAAAAGAAAAAATGGGCACTTAAAGAATATTTTAATTATCATGAAGATGGAAGAAACAATTAGATCTTCAGAAACTAGCAATTTTCCAGTTATCTAAGCTGCTGATAATATTAGTATATACTAAAAGATTACGAACATACCTGAGTCAAGGTATTTCTTCAATGATTCTTCAAGTGTGGGAACAGGCAGTGATGGAAGAGTATCCTGGTACTGAAATGTTCGTTCTTCAGTTGATTTAGCGACTTGATTTTCCATGATGTAACAATCACAATAGAAAATCTAAAGTAAAAAAAGAAACATATTCATAGCTTCAACTTTATGAACAGTCATATATGCTAGGTCTAATTCACTAAACTAAACTGTGTATCCAATTGATCCCAATTCTTAGAGTGGTTACAATCTTGTCAGAGACTTAAAAAATAAGGGTACAGGCAAGACGGCAGCCCCCACGGGCTCGGGAGCAAAAGCCCCTCGCAATTTCCGACTGTTGGAAGAACTGGAAGAAGGCCAGAAAGGAGTAGGAGATGGCACAGTTAGCTGGGGTCTAGAAGATGACGAAGACATGACACTTACAAGATGGACAGGGATGATCATTGAGTCTCCAAGAACAATTTACGAAAACCGGATATATAGCCTTACAATAGAATGTGGACCTAAATACCCAGAAGTACCCCCCTTTGTAAGATTTGTAACAAAAATTAATATGACTGGAGTTAATAGTTCTAATGGAGTGGTGGACCCAAGAGCTATATCAGTGCTAGAAAAATGGCAGAATTCCTACAGCATCAAAGTTGTCCTGCAAGAGCTCCGGCGTCTAACGATGTCTAAAGAAAATATGAAACTCCCTTAGCCGCCCGAAAGACAGTGTTACAGCAATTAACCACCAAGAAAACCACAGGCCCTCCCCTCCCCCATTCAATTTAAGCAGTCTTCATTTTCCACGGTAGTACATTTTTTAGATAACGTCTTATAGACCTGAATATACTGGACAGGAAGCTCCCATTCAAGGGCAAGTTATCTTAAGACACTGTACATGCTACTAATGTTTTGTCCATTTGAAACATATAAGTTGTGCTCTAAAAAAAAAAAAAGGTACAGACAAGTCCTGGAAGTGAAGAAGTGGTATGTGAGACCAGTGTAATTGCATCATCATTTATTAAGTACCTACCTTCTGCCATGTACCACACTAGATGTTACACAAAGCATACACTATCTTCTAAATTTTTATGTTACTTCTAAAATGTAACATCCATTGGCATTCTATGAAGAAACTCAAACTCAAGTTTAATAATTAGCCCTAGTAATCAAAGCCCTAGTATCTGAACTTGGAAGACCATGATCTTTCTTTGGCTTTGAGCCTATTCAGTCACATCCAATGCAGCAAAACAGGGCAGTCTCAAATTTGGAAGATGGAGGAGAAATCAGAACCGTAAACAGGACGGGGGAAGTGAGAGTGCTAATCCCTAGAATATGCTGAAGTTCTTTAATTAAGTGGAGAAATGCAGCTATGTATAAAGCAAGTTGACTTTGCAATTTCAAAAAGAAAACCCAATGCAGAACTCTACTGTCACACATCTTGGGTCACCATGAATCAGATTCGGCTCTGTGGCAACCGGTAACTGTAATTCCTGCTGTACCTGCTTCGGTGACACCTTAGAACTCGTGTACTGTTCGGGCTGGATTCATTAGCTACTTTTATCTTATCTACCTATGTGAGCGTATTCCCTCACCACAATTAAAATATTAAAGGGCATAGGCTCATTTGTATATTTAAGATCATTTGACACTTGAAAGTCAAAATGGATAACCCTTCAGAAACAGTAACAGGATTAACGTTTCTCTAAGGGTGTGGGAAGAGAGGGTGGGGGGTGGGAAATAGGGAGCTGACAGCATTGAAGACTGCATAAACCCACTGGATGTGATTGAACAATAGAATGGTATGTGAATGGATATATTGGATGTGTGAGATACGGAAAAATTAAAATAAAAAAATAAAGGTTCTTGGGGGTAGGGGGTTGGGGTGGGAGGGGAAAAAGGGGAGTTGATATCAAGGAGATCAAGAAAGAAAGTGGTTTGAAACTGTGGTATCAATTGTACAATACTACCGCTTGAGGTGATGGAACTTTGAAATGCCATGATATCTGTAAGAGCTCCCAATAAAAGTATTTAAAAAATTGACTTGATGACGGGAGTGGGGTGGTGTTAAATGAACACAACACACACACACATTCTGGAGGAAATTATCATGGCGCTAGGTTAAATTTCAGTGAATGTCCTAGAAGCAATGAAACAGGAACTCAGATAAGAACTCACAGAAAGTGGACGCAGAATCAAGATCAAGTACAGGCACACATTCATACACACATTCATACACACCCGTGCATTAAAATGCATATTTAGAACAGCCTCATGCAACAATTGTTTTGGGGTCACGGGAGTAGGAACTAGGCTGGTGACTGTAGGAATTAACAAGCTTAACAAAAACTGATACGGGGGTGGTGGGTTGGGTTGGTGACTGAATGTGAAAGGCAAAAAGTCTAAGACAGCAGGCACCAAGACGCAAGCTTTTCCAAATCACTGAAAGCACACACGCCAGCTTCCTCAGGTCCAGAGCTGAATCGCATTACCGCGGGACCATAGAAAGTTTCCGAGAGGGGCTCTCCCCTTCCACGAGACCAGAAACCCTGGTGGTGCTGTGAGTTAGCTGCGCCCCACGAAACCCACCGGTCACTCCAGAGAAGGAGGAGGCTACAGGGCTCCCCCAAAGACTGGCAGTCGCGAAACCCTGAAGAGGTAGGGTCCAGTCGTGGGGTTCAAAACCACCGCGATGGCAGTGGGTTTGGGTTGGGTTTCCCGTGAGATCGGTCCACAGGACGCAAGGTCCCTCCGGTCCTGGGGAGGGCGCAGCCGGAGGCAGGGGTCGCGGCGCAGCTCGGAGTCAGAGGAAAGCGGGGCCAAGCCTCCTTCCCTCAGCGCAAGGGACCCACCCGCCCAGCACGTTCTAGACGCCGCCGAGGGAGAGCACCTCCACCGAGAGCGCTTCAACCCAGAGCCGCGACGGCTCGGCCCCGCAGCCCGAGAGGCGTCCCTTTCCGATGCCCGCGAAGGGGAAGACGGACGACGGCCCAACCATACCACTGCCAAGGGCCAAGGGCCGGCGCCGCGCGGTTTCCGGGCCTCCGCGGTCCGACTCGGCTGAACTCCGCGGCGGCTGCAGAGCGTCGCAGGCGGGAGGGAGCTCTGGCTCCGCCAGGCCCGCCGGTGGTCGCCGCCCCGCTGGGGCCCAGCCGCCGGCGAGTGCCGATTGGACGAGGAGCCGCAAGGGTCACGCCCGTCCTCGTGGACTCGCAGGGGATTGGGCGAAAGCTGCGAGGATCCCGCCCCCGCCCCCCGCCCGAAGGAGGGGCCATTAGGCCCGGAGTCGGCGGCGGTCCCGCTGGGCCCGCACCCAGCAGTACCGACCCCTGCCGCGCAGCAGGTCTGCGTCCCGGCGGGCGGGGGCAGCGCGGCGCCCGGCCCGGGCCCGGGGCTCCGAGGGCCTCTGGGCTCCGCGCCGGCCGCGGCCGCCTTACCCTCTGGGAGGGACAGGGGCCAGAGCCCACGGCCGACGCCTGAGCTGATTGCCTGACCTTTGCGAGACGAGCGCGCCTTTGCCCGCCCTCCGGCTGCCCGCCGCTCCTGCCCCTACGAGGTGGCCCTGCTTTTGCAACAGGAAAGTAACACCATCTAACACCAACGCCGGATACGGGGGTTCTATTGCCAGCTCGCGCCCTGCCAAGAAAACGGCGACCGCTCAGATTCCTTCACCTTCTGAGGCTGGCGTTGACCCCGTGCTGATGCACTTTGTCGTCCTGGGTCTCTGTCTCCTCCATCAGGTGCTCCTGGGGCGCTTGGTCTTTGAAGCCCCTAAAATGGCAAGCTTGGGACTGTTTATGGCAGGAAATGAAATTTTAAACCAGAGTCGATGTAGGCATGTTCTAGAGGAAGATCATAGTGTGGTCAACTTGGTTTCATAAACTACGTTTGTAAAAAGTACCAAAAATGTGAACTACAAGAATTAATTTTAATATTTACCGCCTGAAAGAACATATTCTATTTCTAATTTCAAGTATTGTTCCTTTTTTTGTAGAAGGAATGAACAAACGTTTACTAGCTCTGACTAGGTGTCAATATAAAGAACGTGATGTCAAGTGAGCATATTTCAAAATAGCATCACCTTCACTCACCGCCTTCCGGGCACTCCCAACTCCTTCGTGACCACCTCCATCCCTTACCTGTTCCTCTGAACAATTTGGAATATATATAATTAAATATTTGCTTGGAACAGTCAGACTGTCTACAGAAATGTTAATGTACTTGATTACACAGATGTGAAGCTATTGCACAATATCTGGTGTTTTAGTGTACAAAGGAAATCTCAACTCTCCGATATAATTTCGGAACTTATATTAAATCGTAAGTGGAAAAGACATATCATCTGGATGAGAGAAACCATTAGCACGAAGTCATAGATGGCACTCAAGAGTTTACAGAGATCAGAGCTTTAAGTAAGAAATGGGAGGACAAAGGAATCTGCCCCTAAACATGACCATGATTGGGACACACACATTATGGTAAGTAGAATTTACAAGATTGGTCTAGTGCCTTCCAACCAAGACAAGGTATGGCTCATAACTATGTTACCCCAATATGGAAGTGTACATTAAGGACTCATTTAGGCAAGCCTTAAAAGGAGACTGGGCTTCCCTGGACTGGTTGGGAGGGTGGTAGTAATCCACTTTGAGGGCAAAACTGTTCACACTCTGGTTAATGGTCAGAAGGAATTCAGTAGAAGCTAACCCCATATGTGGACTTTGAGTTTTCATTGTTATCTATAAGCGCCTGTAAATCTAGTACTCAGAATTTAAGTACTAATACAATCTCCTCTTCTGGTCATGGATATTTTATTAACAATCCTCTTCTTATATAGGTTAGTAAGCATCTTACTTGCAGACTTATCTGACACCTCATTAGATGGCTGCTTCTTTTAAGACAAGCCTACAAGACTTTAGACACTACTTTTTCTCCTAACCAGACACCATCAGATTTCATTACCACACTTTTCTCTTGCATGCATATCTCAGTAATCACTTCATGAGGGTAAATACCAAACCTGGCCATATCGTAAGAGCTAATTGCACTCACATTAGGGTTTATGATTAAGTGTGAGGTTCAAAATCATTCATATATCTGAAGATTGTGTATATGGTCCACTTCAGAGGCAACATATTACTTCTTGAGAAATAATATGGGACATTTGGTGATTCCAATAAACATTGGACTTATCAGTAATCTAATCAATGGTACAGATTTAAAATGCTAGTGAGAAAAGGGAAATATTCATATATAAGAAAGCTTTTTAGACTAAAATTCATGGAAGGATCACATATTATGTTTAAAAACAAGTGGCAAAACACTTTAGAAAACAATGAGGGTTAGATATAAGTCAACATTCTTGCTAAAGCAGAACTACTTGCAGAACTAAGACATGTTACACACAAAAGAAAAATATGAAAATAGCAAGTATATGATAGTCTCAAATTGCCAATTACTGGGCAAGCTCAAAAGCAGTAGATATTTAAACAAAGTCCAATGTCTTCAAAGTCCCTGACCTTGGGGTAGCCATTCTCTGCTTCTCCTCACACATGAGCATTTCAGCTTCAAGTCACGGAGTACTTCAGTTCCTTTACTGCAATGGGTGTATAAAGTCTAGTTCACATAGTGTGGTCCTTCTGATGGGGCCTGTGAAGAATGTTGTATATCTCCAAAGACAAAAGCTACAATCTGGTTAACCTATAGCAAGAGCCTGGATCACCAAAGGCAGAAAAGAAATTCAGCCAAAAATGCAGGGCTAGCAACATCACACAGGGAATTCTCCCATCAGGGGTCTATGGGAAGTAATATGAAGTGTTTCCTCCAAGGGCAGGTTGCCCTTCCCTAGTTTAGCCCACAGAAGTGAAGTTACCTTCGGAAAGACAGACATATTCTCATTCCTCTGGTCATGAATTTCCATCTAAAGTCACTGAACTTATGGTGGTGGCAGTGTCAAGGAAATGAGGGTCATTGTAGGACAATACTATATTGCTTGGTCTGCTCCCATTCCACCCAAATGAAAAACTGACCCCATAGTGAAGTGAATGAAACCTCTGCTCAGGAACTGGTTTTAAAGATTACAAGTGAAGGTGTGACGGATTACTAGCATTAGATAAAAACACATCATAATATTGTCTAGGAGTCAGATGAAACATCACTGACCTGACTTAAACCCAAACCCACTGGTCTGATTTTCTTTTTCCTTGATATCTGTTCCTTAAAGCAGACAGAATTATCCCGAAATTGCACTCATAATATCTCATGGGAATGTGGGGTATAACGCAAAGCTGAAACGAATGACAGTGGATCCCCCTCTGTTTACTTGGCATTTTTTCTCTATATACGTCGTGTTTATAAAAACCTACACATATATTTACATATGTACATTTTTTTCTTTCCTCTTTTTCCTCCTGCCCCACTATCATGTTTAGCCATCATTCACCTCTCAGTAATGCCTCTCAGATACAACTTGATTGGTCAAATATGACCAGGTCCTGCCTATCTTGTATAAACACCAAAAACAAACAAAATTCAGATAGTCACAAGACAAACAGGGATCCTGATGTAGAGCAGATGAATATCTCTATTAAACACAGGACATTTAAAACACAATTAAGTGTATTCTAAAAAGTTTCAGATGTAACATCAAACCTTACATTTTGTAAACTTTTGTTTAGTTCCTCAGTTGTATAATTAAGAAATTGTTGGAGTCATGTATTTACAATCACTTTTAAGTAGTCCTGTAGGTAAGCAGATTTAAAAGAAACAAGGTAACAATTTAAAAAGTTAAAATTATAACATTATGCAAAAATAGTAATCACAAGATGTAAATGCCTACCCTAGTAATCAGATAAAACAATTAAGAATAATATTTATGATGCCTAAACAATCTCTTTTGATGCCTTAATGAACCTATGGGCAAATAGTCATAAACAACGCACAAGGCCCAATTACCCAGACACCATTTGCCTACCCTAGAGCAATATGGAAAGTCATAAAAAATACTTTTTAAAATTCACAACAGCTGAGGTAAAAAAACAAAGCAAATGTAGCACAGTGTTAGCTAACTACAAAACAGGGAGTAAGTCTAAGACTCAGAGTTGCATAAACTGAAGGGGGTGGGAGGGTGTGTTCTGAAAAAATTTGCAACAGTAAAAAGTTTCTGAAAGAGAAATGACCAAAATTTAATTAAAATCAAATGCATTGTGAATACTAGATATTTCTGGCATTGTGTTCTCCAGCTGCAAATCTCTCTGGCCCTAGTCTAGGCTACCTGACTTTCCATGACGTTTTGACTTGTCTGAAATTTATAATCATCTGAGAAATGATGCCTGAGCATCAACTATATTTTAAAAAAAATAATTTTATTGGGGGCTCGTACAATTCTTATCACAATCCATACAAAAATTCGTTGTGTCAAGCACATGTGTACATTTGTTGCCATTATCATTCTCCAAATATTTGCTTTCTGCTTGAGCCCTTGGTCTCAACTCCTCGTTTCCCCCCCTTCCTCCCCACCTCCCTCATTAATTAATTTTTAAAGCATTGTTCTTATTGCATATCTTAAAATAATGCTTTAATAACATTAAAAAATGAACATTATTTGGCAGACCTGAATATAGATAAATGATTTCCTTTAAAAAAATGTTATGTGCACTTCAATTACATGTGTCAACTCAATTTTAATGTCAGCCAATCACTTAAATATATTAAAATTATTTCTTTTCTTTTTTTTAATTACGGTTGGGGCAACCCCCCCTAGGGAATGTCCATTCTAATCTTCCTGAGCTGGTTCTTGATGTTTTTCTTTTTCTTGGTGCTGTTGCTCTTGCTGCTAGCAGCAGCCACCGGGGTCCTCTGCTGATGGGCTCATTCACTCGGAGGGAGCTTCTGCCTCTTCTTCAGGACCCTCCTGCTGCCTCTTTAGGATCACTAGCTGGTGCCTCTTTGGGGAGAGAGTTACATTTCTTTCTCTTGGAGAGTGCCATCTCTTCGAGATCGCTACTAACGGACTCCTCCTTAGAAAAGGATTTCTTTTCTTGAGTTTGGGGAGAAT